TTTTTTTTTTACCCCCCCCCCCCCCCCCGGCAATTTCCTTCGATTCCGTTCCGATCGGTTCATCTCGGTTAGCAGCGTGACGTATCGCCAATCATGATACAGATACAGATTTATTCACTCTTGATGAATCTAATTTTCTATTACCCCGGAAATATATGGAAACGTTAGATCCCGATTTATTTGGTAGAACATGTTTGAAATATCTACTCGAATGTTATCGCATGGAAGCGGCAAAGTTGTGTAAACGTAGCGGGAATAAAAGGATTCGAGCAACATGAATACTCTTCCCTTGCAACCGTTTCGCTTTCTCTGCAAACACTGTGGCGCAGTGCTTCGCACTGTTGGTTTGTTACCTACAGGGTATCAGTTTTACCCCTCTGTGTGTCTTCTGTTCAAATAACGAAGCCGGAGGGGGGTGGAGGGAGGTTCGTAATTTCAAAGTCGGCTAAGTATCCCATCCTCGAGTACTTACCAGCATATATGATCGACACGTGTTCCCTTTCATCAATTCTATTTTTGAATGTCTTCGATTCGATCAAATTGACTTGCAGTCAGGACGATGCAATCAGGCCAGAGGAATCTGTGTTGGGCTGACCTAAATTTTAGAAAAAAAGAAGTCACCCGGTGTTAGCAGTCTCTCGCTAATTGCATGATTTAGAAGCAGTCGGAGAATCTCACTCGCCCACTTTTTGGGACGCTTCCCCCCATTCTACTTGCACCTATTCGTTTGTCCATAGATGAGTGTTCCCGTAGCAAGTGATGTAAAAAAATAGCGAAAATCCCTTTGGGCTGGTGGAAGAGCGCTTATCTAATTCGACTGGAAATCTTGAGGGATTCCCGAGTACACCTTAAAATTGGCATGTTCGAAGGATCCTGGATCTAGTTCTTTGAGCTTCTGGAATTGCAAATTGCTATCCGCGCCCGGATTCCGCACTTGGGAGGATGGATAGATACTCGTAGGCTCTCCTGTATCCTGCCGATTGGGCGAGACAGAACACTCGTAACGGATGTAGGTGGTTCTTCGATACGATGGAAATGTCGTAGAACGATGCTAAGGGTATTCAGAGGTAGGAATAAAAGTCCTTTTTAGGTGCCAATGGAAATTCGAAATCTTCCGGCGCGCTTAATGATTTCAGGTGAATGGATTATCGGGCACTCGAGATCGGTGGGAGTTTTGTTTAGCGTGCAGAAGGTGCAAGTGCGCATTAATGGGATAATTAGTAAATCGTCGAGTAGCGGAGGGATCTTGTGGAATGGCTCCGATATCGATAGCCCACGATAGCTCACGATAGCTCGCAGTACCTCAGGTTGGCTGTGATTAATAATAGAGCACCGCAGATGAGTGTCTGCGAGATGGGAGCGTACCTCTGGGAAACACCTACCTAGCTGCCTCACTACTCGTTCGTCTGTCTCTATACCCACTGCTCACGCGTGTTATACCACCAACTGCCCTGCACATTAGTAGACCCGCGGGATTTCAGTTCCGTGGCAAGATTCGTAATTTTCCTTGTTCAGTTACTCCCTGGCTACAAGACTTTGAAGTTGCGAAGGAGAATGCAGAATAAAGCAAAAGAGATGTTCAGAAAGTAAAAAAAGAAAGCAGATCATGGCTCTTCATCGAATCGCCTTGAGAACTTGAAGAGAGTTCTATTTATCGAAGCTCCTTGGTGCTTGAGAATCAAGACGTGAAAGGAAAAGGAAAGGAAGAGATCGGGACGCGACGCCGGGCGTCTTGCGACGATCTCTCGTTGTCACAGGTCATGTAGTCGGGAGGTAAAGTGCAGGTGCAGTTGGAGATGAGAGTGTCGCCGTATGGAAAGGAGCTGCGACTGGGTATGGTTATTTCGACAAAGAAGCGTCGTCGTGGTCGTCGACGCCGACGTCGGCGTCGTTGTCGTGGTGGTCGACATTTCTCTCGGCCCCGCTAGTTGAGCCCCTTTCTGGTGTAGCGCGCGAGGGGGTGCCGGGGTAGAAAAGGAGAGCCGGAACGACCCGGGGGTTGCCGTGGCGTTATCGACCGCGTTTCGGGACACCGGGGGACGGTCCGGCGTCGGCGCCGTGACGCCCGGCGTCCTCGAGTGCCGGAGCATCTCCGCGGGATTTTGCCTGGCTCTCGCGCGACAGTAGAGCCCGGGACAGATCCGAGACGAACGGAGTGGATCCCTGAAGTGGTGCGGTTCTCGGTGCCCGAGTCCTCTTCGGCTCTTCGGGCTGCCGACTCCACAGGACGTTGCTCCTTACCTTACGTTACGCTGCCAAGTTACGGCTCTGCGGTTATACGTGAAAGACGAGGGGCCGTAGGGAGCTACGAGGGAAGCTGTCAGACTGGAAGATAACCAAAGTCCTACCGCATAGATACTGACAATATAGAAAAGGAATTGCCTAAAGTCACACTGAAAAGTCAAGTCACGCTTCCGAGTCCTCGCTGACGTCGCTCACGAGCGTTCGGCTTCCTGAAGAGCTCTTTTGCGACCCTTCCTCATTACTCTTCACATGTTGGCCTCGCACGTCTCGCGCGTCTCGGCACCCGACCCGCACACGCAGAATTTACACGCGTTCTTACTCACTCTGACAGGCCACGTTTCCCTCGTTATCTTCCACTTGTCCTGCTCCTACTCATCGGCCTTATTGCCATTCTGCTGACATCTCGGTACCCGCCGCAATCTCTTAATCGCTCCTTCTGGTTTGGCCTCGAGTGCTTTTGGATCTGGTGCCGATTTCAAAAGTGCACCGTGCCGACCACGGGTTACGGGATACGATTGCGTTGTGCTCGACGAGGAATCGTGTTAACGAGAGTTTTGGTGAAAAGATGCGATTCTACAAGTTCACCGCTATTCGGGGCGAGATAGGTAGCACGCTGATACGATAACTCTTTCGAGTTATTTTACGAACCAGGTCTTAAAGTGGTGATAACTGACGTAACCCAGTGAGAAGGACCTTTTCAGTTTTATATTTTCACCTTCTTCGATTTAATATTAATCCCCGTGAAATTTTTGGAAAAAGTTCTTTATTTTACTCGGTGAGTTTTTTAATACGACGAATTCCTGCGAGACCGTTATCACGTGACTTATCCTCGTCTTCGTTTAATCCTTAGTGATCTACCTGAACCTGAAGTGGTGCAGGCGGATGAAACGAAATTGCTGTGATTCGATGAGGACGGGTGGCCGATATCTCAACGATGTTTCGATGGAGATACTCGCAGCTTCCGAGCGGAATCTTCCTCAGTGTCACGTAATCACTAATCAATAATATCTCGAGCTGGCTGAAGGAGCAATGAAAAGAAGAAGGGTGGGTGAGAGGAAGGCGAATTCCCGAGGGAAGGGAATTTTTGAGAAGGAAAGTTCGCTGGAAGCTTTGAAAGTTCCAAAATTGCCAAATGAGATTTCGGGTGGCTAATTGCAAGGAGAGCTTATTAGTCCTGCGATTAATGGACACGCGATTCGATTTAGTGACAGCGTGCGCGGAGACCTCGAGCTTTCGAATCTCGTTAAGCTCTCACTCCACCGGGCTGCAAATCTCGTTAGGCAATGAGTAGAGTTTGCGATCTTTTTAAGAGCTTGACCCTCACCAACTGACCGAGTACTTATTTCGCGTTCCCTTTTTCTTACTTGTCCTTATTACTCTTTTCTAAGGCTGCTGCTTCATAGGGACTCGATGTCGCAATCTTTCCAGCCGGCGCACCAGCCGCGTGGGAGTTCTTCGATCTCGAGTTTACTTTGGCAGCTTCCTAGGGAAAGAGCTCTTTCGGTTAGCGGTTTACGGTTTGCGGTTGACCCAATTACGCGACAGCTCGAAAGCTTTTCCGTTGCGAACGTGAACGACACTCTGCCCTCGAAATATCACACGCTCGAACGCACCCACCCACCTTCTGAAGAAAGCAGAGAGAGAGAGAGAGAGAGAGAGAGAGAGAGAGAGAGAGAGTCAGAGGAACTTTACATTACATATCATTCTTGTTGCGGTCTTTGCAGACTCCTCAAGTTTCTGACGCTCTTCTAATGATTGGCTTCATGTTCTTTCCAGAGATCGACGTAATTACAATCGTCGAGTGGTCTTCCTGGATACAGTCGTTGAAGAAGAAAGTAGGAATTGATTCGCGATTCCCTGTGTCGCGCGAAAGGTGTGGACCAATCGAAGGAGTTACCGTGAAAGAAAGAGAGAGAAGGATTTCGCTGGAGAAGGATAGCTAGAGTTTGGAAAGTGGTAAATCGAAAGACGGGGAATCTCGATGACTCCCGTGGGATTATCAGTGACGGAGGATTCCAGGAGATCGACAGAGTTTCTTGACGATGGAATGGCTCGGAAGAGGCTCGTGCTGCGTCCTGGGAGGTGTGACTTCCGTCAACTGGGAGGAAGGAAGGCCTGAAGCCTCGAGGAAGAAGAAGAAGGACGCGGGAGGCAGATCTTGGGGCCCAGCAGAGAGTCCCGGGCCAGGAGGGCTCCACAGATGCGGGGCCCGGAGGCCCCAGCCCGCGGCGGCGTGACGCGATGCGGACGCCCGCCTCCTCTTCATCGTCCTCATCCAGCGGCGCCTCATCGGGATCCTTGCTGGAAACCGTGTCGGTACCAAGGAAGGAGAAGACCCGGAACCGGTGGATCGTCCACGAGGGGAATCAGCGACTCGGCTGGTTCCCGGCCAGTAAGGAATTTCACAGTGCTAGGAATAATTCTTCAAGAGAAAAGCGACGAGAAGAGAAGCCGACGGAAAAGGTTCCCGAGGAGAAGGCGGAAGGTCTCCCTGAGGAGTGCTTTGGTCATGATGGCGAAACCCGAGAGGATTCCTTCCGCTCGAAGAATACCCTCAGGACTCCCAGAGTCTGTCCAAGATATTCGAGACTTCCCTGTAGAAGCTTCGTCATGGGCTTCCTCGTCCTGGGACTGGTCTGCGGATACCGGTGGCCCGGAAGAGCCGCGGCTCTCGCAGAAGGGCAAAAGTACAGCACCAGGGAGATCACCACGCAGTACGGTACTCTGCGAGGGATCGTGGCAAGGGCCGCTGCCGTCGAAGCTTACCTCGGGGTGCCCTACGCCACTCCGCCCCTGGGGGAGCTTCGGTTCATGCCCCCCATCACGCCCACCTCGTGGAGAGGAACTAAATTCGCGGACACCATGCCACCTGCGTGCCCTCAGCGACCTCCGACCCCAGACCCAAGTATACCACGCTCGAGACGATCCTACCTCGAGAAAATAGCACCGCTTCTGGCTAACCAGAGCGAAGACTGCCTTTACCTCAATCTCTACGTACCAAGACCATCCCACGGTGAGTTCAGCACGTGTCGTTATTCATTTCTAATCAAGTAATCAAATATGTTTCACGCTACTCGTTACACCTCCGATGCTCCAGCATTGACATAATAGCTACGAACGCTCGCATGTTAATAGTCGGACGCAGTGAATCTCTTTTCAGTAAAAGAGCGGCCCTCCGCTTGCCCCCTTCTATTTAAAAGCGTGGATTTCACAGCTCGGCGTTGTTGCTCTCTCTGGACGAGAATGTGTGTGCTAGAGTCATAGAAAGTGATGAAAAGGGCGAGAGAGATTCTGGGAAAGTGAATGGAGGAGAAATTGAGACGCGAAGGGAGGTATGGAGATAGAAGAAGGTCCCTGGGTGCGAGAGGCGAAGGGAGGTAGGATCGTAGGACTAAGGCCACTCGGTAATCCAGAGGAGCCAAGAGAATGAGAGATGTGTTTTGAGGGGGATGCCCCGGGGGCTGGAGCACAGAGGGTGAACCAGAGTGAACGTTCGAAATCCCAGGGCTCGGCCACTCCCTCGAAGTGCTACGCGTGCAAATAAACCCCGTTAATCCAAAGCCAGCAGCTACCTTGCCCGATCCACGCTCGTGGATTAAAACGCTCCGGATACTTGCCATCCACTTAACAGCATCTACGTATACATTGAGCATGAGCCCGTTTGGCTCTCGACCTATCCAGCACATAGAGCCATCCATATCCGAGAAATGTGAAATTCACGATGAAGATATTTCCCGGAGCTCATTGAGAAAAATCCCATCTTGCCAGGGAGGATCCTCGGTGTCATCAAATGCTCCTCTCTAACCTTCAGAAGTCTCTCGGAGGTCTCATCATCCTGGCCAAGAAGCCTTTCTCTTCGATGGACCATAATGGCTATGAGATATTAAAAGTACAGAAAGTTTCCGCTGGCATAATAATAAGCTGCATTCAGAACTCGGTGGGTGGCTCGGAAGCTTCGACGTGGCTCTCTCTCACTCACTCTCTCTTCGGGTAGCTTATTTTTGCTCTCTTCCACTCTCCAAAGGGGCAGCGGGATGAGACGAATGATATCGACCGTGCACCGAAGAAGACAAGTCCGAAGAAGCAGAGGCTTCATCAGCGTCGACAGCCTCCGGAGCGCCTGGATCAACTGTGTGGTACAGCAGGGCGAAGAACGTGCTGGCTAAACGAGTTGCCCTCTCAATTCCGTAGTGCATTGCAGTCGGCAGGATCCTACTGAGAAAACCTGCAAGCACCGCGGGAGTGAGGTGGCTTCGACGTTCGATCAACATTCTCCAGCTACAGCACCTCCACTTTTACAGCACATTACTCTAAGTCGTATTAGAATTCCTCTTGGCAATATCTCCGAAGTGGACCTTTGCCTTTTGTGTACTGGCATATATATTTTTACTCTTGGCTGATCCAGGGGCTGTTTCTCGTTCTTTGGTATTGTCTAGGAATCGGATGAAGTGGGAGAGGAAGAATGGAAGTAAAGAAAAGTAATAGATAACATGGTTATTCTAGGATTATTAACTGGCACTGCTGGCCTCGCGCATAATGCCCACGGAGGTAATTAAGGATAAGGGTATCTCGCCGGGGTGAAAAGTTGCTCTTGAATATTTTACATTAAAATGCGCATCTCTTGGACTTACTCTTTATTTCTCGGTTGCTTTTAACCGGGACTCTTCAATATTCATTACGTCCAAGGGCCAAACGCTATTGCTGAGTCCGATGGAGCTTATTGGTTGTGCTTAAAACCCGGATAATTAGTATCCACGTGAAAGAGTTCCACTTCTTATTCTACCTTCGCGTCGTCCGATAACTCGAAAGCTTTTCAAGTCACTTGGAATTCGAAAATTCCCAGGAGACGTCTTGGACCGATAACAATCAAGATGACAATAACGATCTTTATCTTACGGCTGGGAAGGTCGTCCCGAGGCTGTTTCACGGGGTTGTTACGGCTTGTCGGTGTAAGAGGGGTTGCTGCTGTTTAGGGTGCACTGCTAGAAACCGCGCTTAATAATTTGTCAGATCTGATATCGCATCCCCAGGTTAGATCCTGGCCGAGGATGCCAGGAGCCGATGTCCTGCAGAATCCAGGGCTCGGACCAGGTCGCTGGAAAATGAGTGGCTTGGTGCTTTACTGATCCTATACGGTCAGTCGATCCGTTTGTAGGTTGGCTGCTGGGTTGTTTAGGTGGTTGTTTCGTTGGGGTGAGGACGGGGTGTAACAATCGGGGTGTGGCAACCCCAGTGGAAAACCGTGGCTCGCTGGACCGGACTTCAAAGTTACACAGTGTTATTCGGTTTAGACGTGTCAGTCAGAATTGACAATTATTATGCGGTCAGGTTGGTAAAATTTACCACAGATAATAGAGAATGAAGTTTTGTGCTATCTATGAAATGATTGCACAAGACTCAAAGAAAGGAGTGTCTCAGCTTACTTTAATTTCAATTAACGGCACTGAATAAATAAAATTTTGGAACGAAACTGTATATTACATATTTTCATCTGACTTCGTGTGTCAGGTAATGGAGACGCAAAAGCGCCGTAGATTTTGCGCTGCGGATATTTGGCAAATGGTGGAGACGAGAAGTATTCGCGTGACAGCTGTCAAATCTGACTGGTACATTCGAGGTGGATAGCCCTGGGATATGTTAAGGGTAGGAGGCGTGTCAGGATCTGCAACAGGTGGACGTCTCGTCTGGTTTCCCATCGCTTAGCCTGCTGGCGCCTACACTCTTCCCCAGGTTGAGAACCAGTGAAGGCAGCAACCCTCCTTCGGCGACCACCCCACGGCCTCCCGTAGCAACATGCTCGCTGCTGCCCGATTATTATGTCATTTTGAATATTACCGAGAGACACACATGCTTAAATAGCCGTAAAGCCGTAACTAACATGGGGAGAATTTGCCTTTGGGAAGCTCCGTGTCTCGTCCTAGAATTGTGTACCTACTTGTGTTTTTCACTCCGCATATGGTTATAAACCCTTACTGTCTCTAGTATCGAACCCTCTGCAGCCTCCGTCTGATCCTGATCCTCGTGGGGATCCGCGGGATTCTGCTCCCCCTATTCCGTCGTTTGGTGTCTCGTTAGATCTATGGCCGACCCACCTCCTCTCTCGGGGAATATGCGAGTATCCCCCATTTCGCGATTTACTGCGGGGGATCCTTCGCAAAATAATATTCCGGCATACCATAAGCGTCCTGAAGATGATCCGCAAAAAATGTAGGAGCCGAGGAAGAAGTGGCCGTTGAGCTATCGCGGAGGGAACTCGAGAGAATGAAATAGTGAGAGAGATAAGAAGGTATCCCTGCCTCAGTAAAGAGATCCCTTCTCGGATGAAACCAGTAAAAAAGATCCATAACGTACTAACCCGAGCTTTTACCTCGAAGCTGGGTTGTTTTCCCCCGGTAGTGCAGACTGGTGCATTCGAGGCCGAGGCGGCCGCGTCAGGCTGCGTTTGCTGGTCTCGCTGGCGTAGGGGCTGCAATCGCGATTCAATTCTTATCCGGAAGACGAGCGAAGCGTAGAGAATGCGAGAAACGTTCCGCGTGCCAGTGGAAGAGCTGAAAAAGCTTGAGAAGCTGGGAGAGTCGAGGACCAAGAGAAAAGCCCGAGTTGGTTATATCGTTGGAAGCTCGCTTCGTCCCCGGGAAAGTTTTGCTACGCGAAATATTATACCTCATGCTATTCCGTGTTCCACATCTCCAAGTACTAATACTTGTAGTATAGTTGCCCACGATACAAGCCAGCTCCCCCGTTCGGAACTTAATAATTTCCATTGCTTCCCTGTACATCCCTTATGTTTTAGGAGGGATCGCGGAACCCTTAAAGAAGGTTGGCTAAATGCATAATCGTCATGATTGCAGGAAGTAACACGGATCTCCTTCCGGCACTCCTACTCGTTCATGGGGATTCCTACTCGTGGGGTGCCGGCAACCCCCTGGACGGTACGGCACTGTCGGCGCACGGCCATCTCATTGTGGTCTCCATTAACTTTCGTCTCGGCGTTTTGGGTAAGTGAAAATATCTTCTGGTTCAATTACGTGATCTCCCGATTACACATAGCGACAGAGTCTAAGTAGACCGAGTGGACGTTCAATTACATTCATTTGGTTCAATGAATAAACTCGCCTAAATAGCATCAGAAACAGATGCGAACTGGTGCGATGTTCGCGAATAGTTCTATCAAAGTTTAATGGAAGCTACATTGTTTGACAGAGGCCCGTGGAATCGTCCACCCTAATCGTCCCAAAGGGATCTGTGCCTTTATGGTTATTTCAGGAGCTTATTAACCTACTGCAACATTCAAGTCATGGAATCCCGCGGTCGTATCGTCCTTTGATCCTTCATTCTTCTCCGCTCCTCCTCTCCTCCTCTTCCGTCGTTCCACCATACTCCTCCATGTGTTTCTACAGCCATGGCTTGTTTCTCCATAAAATCAAGCGATGCTGTAAATAAATAATGGCTGCTTAGCCCGATGGACGCTCCTGCGGGAACTGTTCGTCGACGAGGACGTCAGCTTAACGTTTAATCACCTGCTAATCGTCGGGTGAATATTTCACGAAGCAATTTTCCTGCTGAATGCAAACAAAGTGGGGCGGACCTGCTTCAACGTTGTCAGACCGGAACAGGTCCCGGTCATGTTTCAAGACATAAGGGTGCTGCCCCTCCGTGGGCACGGGCTTCTCAGTCCCCTCCTTAGGAGGTAATTTCGGAAGCATGACATTTCTCATTTGACTAAAACTTTCGATCGCATGGAGAAGATAGTGGGTCTGCGGTTTTACAAATTCCCTATACCGGCCATAAGTGCGACAGAGACGGAGCGATGGGTCTTCGTACGAGTAAGACGGAGACAGGCAAAGTAAAATTAAAAAATTGCCAGTAAATACCCTGTGACTCCCTCTCTCTCTCGCGACTGCGTCCATCGGAATCCGGCACGTGAAGGTTCATTAATATTCCGAGAGAGTCTCAAAGACGAATAAGGTTTGCAATGAACGCGCAATGCTCGTGTTTCGCGCGGAGATTAAAGATAGTAGAAGCAGTTAGAAAAGTATTAAATGGGTGTTGGCGGGGGAGTTTAGAGAATGGACCAGACTAGAGGAAGGTAAAGAGAGTAGGAAATCTCTTAGAATTCAGAAAGGGTAGGTAAATGGGTATTTAACTTCTGAGCCTCCATGAATACTGGCTTCCGAGTCATCAAGGCGACGGCGGATGAATAGGAGTTTACATTGGAAAGGGCAATGACTTCGAAAGGGTCCAGGATGACTAACGAACCCTTAGACGTGGCAGAGCGACGGGGAGCCGCCGTCCCTTTGCTTGGCAACTATCCTAAAATCTTCCTATACGCATACCTATATATATACTATATTGCACTATACATACACCTACTACGTATCCTAGAGACTACTGGACCCTCTCTCTGAACTATGGCGAATTGCCCCTGTGGCGGCTGAGGGGTTCATCCTTGCGGTAGGTATGGATTTAAGGACGATTAAAAGAAGGACCATAAAGGGAGTCCATCGTCGAATACTATGACGCCGACGCATGACGCCGCGATGCTTGCTTCCAGAGGTAACGGAATGGAAAGGAGCAATAAATAATAAGTCGCCGTTAACGTCGCTGACGTAGACAAGCGTCGTTCGTGCTCAATCCCCATCTTCCCTCCACATATCGAACGCTGCCTTCTCTTTCTCCCTTCTTTATCTCACTCCGACAATACGCGCTGTTGTCTCGCTCGTAGCAGTGGGACAGTGTCGTGTACAGTATTTCCAGAAATCCTGAGATTCACACCCGGACGATAATACTGACGTTAGAAGTTAGAAGGCCAGTGCGAAAGTTAGCTTCTGCCTGGCTCGTCCGCCGCGCCTGTTCTTTGTCCCGGTTGGACTTGAAGTTGTTGAAGTTGGAGGGACAGAAAAATAAAATGATTACTAGCGCTGGAGAACGAGGGACGGAGGGCGAGTCAGAGCGAGAGGAGCAGCCGGAGATTTGCCGTGTGGGTGTCTGGTGCTCCGGTGGTTGCGAGTGCGCGTAAGAGTGCGTATGCGTAACGCTGAGGTTGTACCGGCGGCTGAGGGCAGCACGTATTGATTACGAGCGTTTACCGACCTTGGTTCGCTCTGGCATCCCTCAGAATTCCTATTTCCTTCCTATAGGGTCCCTATAGCCTACCTATAGTCTAACTATACATAACCTCCTCTATCCTGTCCCCTTTTCATCCCGTTTCCTGCCGTTTCGTATCATTTCGTCCCGGCGAAGCCCAGCTCGGTTGGCTCCTACTGACAAGACGAAGAAGAAGAATAAGAAGAAAAATATCGCCATGGCGCTCGGCCATACCAACGAATTTTAAATATTGCCTCTGCGAATCCCTTGCGCATTTCTCTGGCTCTTCTCTACTGCCCCTCTTCATCCCGCTCAGTCTGTTCATCTTTCGGGACACGAAACACATTGGAACTGGAGGAAGGAAAGAAAAATAACCAGAGAGAACGTCCCTCCCTCTCTCCCTCTCTCTCTCTCTCTTTGTATAACAGAGGACTCGTCTGTCTTTTCGAGTTTGGTCCAAACTGAGGGAAACGAATGCCCTCGGAATTATCTAATATCGTCTGCTCTCTTGGCCAAGACCGATTCAATTTCTTCTTTTCTCTTAGAGGCTCGGCGTATTTACTCCAACCGTATAAACTCTCTGTTTGCCTATTATCGTTTATGGCCATGAACTTAATGAGGCACTTCCGAGCAGCTGATTTCCGGGAGGACATCCGATTTCCTACAATGAAACGTAAGGAGGAGCGAGAAAAAAATAATTGGGAGATGAAAAGATGAATATTTGATTTTGTCTCTTTGAGAATTGTGATTGAATTATCTTGAGAGAAATACAAGATCCAATCATTCGAATAGAGGATCAATGCAAGGATCATATTCTGATACGTCGGGGGTAAGGGCTTCTCTTCTTATTTGATTCGAATGATGCTCCCCGACGCCTGCCGTCGGTTCTAGAGAGACGCCGAATGCTAACGCGTTTTGCGCTTTCATCTCACGGCCTTATCCACGCTCCAATTGGACTTTTTTTTTACATTTGGGTAATGGGACAATTCTATTAGGTTACATTCGTTTAATGCGATACGCCTGTGGAGAATTGAAAGAGGTCGCCATTGTATTGCGCCACCTTATTTCGCGTTTGTCCTTAGCGTATAGTTAACTCTCGTCTTTCTTATTTAGTTTCCATTCTGGTCCAGATTTATAGGCGAGCTACCGTAACGAGACGCAGCTTCAATCTTCAGGCTCCTTTTCGACATGAAAGAACGTCCTCGGAAGTTCAAGACGTTTCTCATCAATGGGGAAGGGTCAAGGAATTTTGGCTCGCTGCAAAGATCCTTGGAAACTGAAGTCTTCCCATTTGACGGTGTTACAGGATTTTTGAAAACTGGTCCAAAAAGTAGCGCTCAGGGCAACTACGGACTTATGGATCTTCTCGCAGGACTTCATTGGCTACGACAGAATCTGGAAGCATTCGGAGGCGACCCTGATCGCCTCGCCCTCATGGGTCACGGAACTGGAGCAGCGCTCGTCAATTTTCTATCAGTTTCGCCGATGGGGAAAGGTAAGCAACATTTTTTAATTCTTCTTCTTTCACGATCTTATTTCGCAAGAATTTTACAACAGACATCACGAATCTGATAAAGGGATACTAATTCAATTATAGTTTCACAATCTCGTTTATCATCGAAGTTCAGCGATAATTTGTTAATTACGGAAAGGGATTACATGATTTTAACTATCAGCGGATCAATTAATAGATTTTTTAATTGTCAGTAGCGGACAACTGATAACCACTATCGCGATAATTTCCTACGTTTCTTTAATTATCAGGCATTATTATGATAGCCCTACACGATTAAAGGCTTGTATGGAACGAAGCAGTAAATTTTATAGATTATTTTCCGCTGCTGGTAACTACCATTACTCGAATATAATTTAGAATTTCCTACTTATCAAATAGACGAGTTTTTGCGCTATTTCTTTCGTGCCAGAGTACTCGGCGCATCGAACTATACTGCAGATTCTATATATCGGGTCCGTCGAATGCGTTTCGATACCGATAAATACGGTGCAAATTCATTGGGCTCTTTCACGCATTGTTTCGTTGGGTTCGATTCCGGTTCTAATTCCTCTTTTTTTTTTTTTCACTAGAACGTTCAGCTTCCCTATACGTCGACATGGGCGTCGCGCGATCCCAGTCTGAAAAATCAGCGCGTACAATTCTACGTTCACAGTTATACACGGTTCACCCAGGAACAATGCTGAGAATCGAGAATAGCCGAGCGCCGAGTATTATCGCCACGTCGGCATCGGAACGATAATTAAAATCTATCAGAATGTCGCGACAACGATTTCCTCCGGCAAAAAGCTTAGTACAGATATCCGGCGTCAAACTTCGTATTCACTCGTTGAGCGAGTAAAATCGTTTTCTATAGGATACCGAGAGAAACAATAAAAGTTGGAAAGGTAATGGAGTAATGACAATTCATTTGCCTAGATTTACATTGAATTCATATTCCTTGTTTCGTTTGTCTTTTTTATCTTCGGATTCAAATGATAATAGCCACGTGTCAAATAAACAATCTTTCGTATGTCTCGCAGTAGATAACGCGCCTAAAAGTTTATCGATTCCGAAAGGCGTCTCCGATCCACCTGTTGAGTCTATACCAATAGGAAAGAAGCAACTGATCCGACGGTAGTAGAAAAAGAGTTTTAGGAACGGAAGGAGGAAAGAAAACATCTATATAGATCGACTCTGTCGAGGACTCGTAATTGTCAGAACAACGTAAACATGTCGCGAGCAAAAGACCTCAGGATTGTCCCAGTGGTTTTGAAGAGAGTCAGCACCAGCTAATATACCAGAGTCCTAACAAGCTCTTCGTCAAGTACAGCTGCTCCCGAGCCACCACGGAATTACATCTAGCCCTGTTCCAGATTAGCCACCCTACGGTCTCTCCTAACGAACCCACTCTTGTAACATATTTTTATAAAGTCCAGGCAGAGTCGCGCAGTAGTCAGACAATGCTGTAGAGGGTAGACCTCATGGAGGATCTCCAGGTCTAGTTACGGGAACCAGACAATCCTCATCCAAGATAAGGATTAGGTACCTATTTGTGGAAAGTTTCCAGGGCAAACGAGACTTCTTTGAGTTTCAGAGCTCGTCCAGAAGGTGGTCCTCTTGGGTGGCTCGGCTTTGTCACCCTGGGCGATTCAGAGGGATCCCCTGATGGTGAAGCGACGAGTCGCCGAACAGACCGGATGTCCTGGTGACGTGGAGGCGGACGACATCGCACCGTGCCTTCGTCTTCGTACCCTCGACGAGTTGCTGGACGTCAAACTCGATCCGCCGAGATTCACTTCCGGTTTTGCACCTTTCATAGACGGCGCTGTTCTCCCACTCGCCACCAATCAGGCACGGCGCTTTTATTCTTACCTGTGGAAGCCGTTTTATTTTTATTTTCCGCTAGGTTCATCGTCTCCGTGATAATTCAACGGACGTGTTCCTGTTGTGTTGCGGAGCAACGTGACAGGAAATCGATAGGATTCTCGAATTGTAGGAAGTAGCCTGACGAATGACGGGAGAGTTGCTGAAATCCGGTATTAAGTTGTGTATATAACCTATTACTGATATCTCTCTATAATGGAATAAAAGGAGAGACGCGGTATATGGATTCATCGTGACAATTCATTGTAAAAGCTCGAACAAGCTCATTCCGTTTATTCGAACATTCTGAATATTCATCCGATCAGAGATTGAGGGTTGTCAAAGCAATCCTGCGATTCAACTTCGATTTTCGTTATCGAGGGGATTGGAGCGTCCACAGAAAAGGGCAGAATACTAACACCTTGTCAATTGAATTATCATGGAATAAATGTCTCAAGGATAGCAGATTTCCGTTTTTGAAAATTTCTTCGTTAAGCCGCCTCGGCTCCGCTGACTTCATTTTCTTACGACAAAGTTAAACTTTGTCTCGTTGTCGCGGTTATATCTTTGTAGCAGAACAAGGCTAAACGACGCGGAGAGTTTACGGTCGAGAGAAGGCGGGTTATCGCCACAGCGATACTCCAGCTTCCAGTGATTAAAAGCGCTGTTTTACCCCTTTAACCAAGTCGACTTCCCGACGCTCGTTTAGATTTTCCAGCCGACAGCGTCCTCCGCGGGCCTTATACCAGTTATGCCGGGTCCCGGAATGGAATTCGCAGCCTTTGGGAACCGAGACCTTCTTATGGGACTTACGTCAGGCGAGGCGTGGCTCGAGCTCACCGACCAGGATTTGCAGGTGATGATTAAACGATTAAATAAAGCACCGGGGCGCCCGACGACGTCGGACGCCGTCTCCACTGCTCCCCGTTCGTCCTGTTTCCTGTTCGGATTCCGATAATTGGAATTGTCCGATAAATTGTTGGCTATTAGTCGCTGCCCGCAAAGTGTGCTCACGAAACGCTTGGGCATTACCGCGGCTGCCCATCCTGCCGGGCGTAACCGAGTAACCGAGTAACCGGGCGTAGAGTCTGAGAGCCAGCGAACGCTTGAGTTATCGAGCCATCGAGTTATCGAGCTATCGCGGGGACCCCAGAGCACGCCAGTACCACTTGGACCAGTGAGGATGTTTGTGCTTTCAGGTTGGCCTCAACGAGACCAGGAGAGACCGAATCCTTCGGACCTACGTGCGCAACACTTACCGCTACCATCTGCACGAAATCTACTCGACCTTGCGCAACGAGTACACGGACTGGGAACGGGGCGAGCAGAGTCCTCTGGCCATCTGCGAGGGTCTCCTGTCTCTCCTGGGGGACGGTCAGGTCGCGGCTCCTCTCCTGAGGTTGGCGATCCTTCACTCCTCTTCCGGAGGACGAGGGTACTTCCTGCACTTTCAACCTGGAGAGCGAACGAGTCTTCGCGGTGAGGAGGTTCCTTACCTCCTGGGGATTCCTCTTCTGAGGGGGGAAGCTACGGCCTCGGCTTCCGCTACGCAAAACAACTACAGCAACGCCGATGAGAACTTATCGCGACTCCTCGTCCACTACCTGGCGAACTTTGTGCGCCGCGGGTGAGCCACACTCTCGACACTCTCTTTAGTACATTAATTTCCCGAGTTAGCCGAGCAGTAAACTAGGAACTGCAACCGCTTGGAGTGCCGATGGATACCTTCCTCGTGCAATTCCACTAGGACGGCTTGCAACTTGTTGGTAGCTGCTAGTTCAGACCTTTAAAAGGACTTTCCCTCAGAGAGTATCCTGTTGGTGGTATATGGATAAGGGATGCTTCTGGCAATCTCAAAGTTGCAATCCGAGTACCGAGGTACCTCGGTTTTCGAATAATTAGGGAATAAAGGGTGACGAGTTGATTAGAGCGGATGCAGGGCGTTTCATTGGCTATGGGAGGGACGCATTGAAATGTCTTCGTCTGCTTTGACAGGAAACTCCAGCAGCTACCAGGTTGTCTGTCCAGGTTGAGTTTAAGGGACTAAGGGGCTAGGGGGCTTCCAGGATCCAGAGGGAAGACGAAGTTCTTTTATCTCGCGAGAGGTTCTCTTGGGAGGGACCGAAGGGAGGGATGCATAAATCATCCTCGCTCCAGCATGTGCAATTATTTCGCTTGCGACGTGGCTATTTGCAATTTATTATCTGTCAAATATAGAGGCGCACCAGATACCAAGCATGTTAGCTTACGCAACGGAATGACCATTAATATTTTCTCTTCCAAAGCTCGTTCGTAACCGTTTGACAGGACCTGCCCTGTATTTTACTATTCCAGTATTTCAGTACTTCAGTGTTTCAGTATTTTATTACTGCCGTCGCCACTGTTCTCTCGTACAATAATGAGAAAAGGCTAAATGATAGGAAGAATGGCGAAGTGTGCAGTAAATCATCCTAGGGGATGTCCTGTTTGTTTCAGGGATCCGAATAAGGCGAATAGTCTGAGCTCGCTGGAGAATCATGCGTCCAGTCCACCTTTTTGGGATTCCTATGATGCGATAAACCAGCTCTACCTCGAGGCGGGTCGGACTACGGAGATGCGATCGCATTATCGAGGTCACAAAATGTCTCTCTGGCTGAACTTGCTGCCGCAGCTGCATAGACCAGGCTATGAGATTAGCATGCGCCATCATCATCTGTCGGAAAGTCCTAGTCTCTATGAAGGAGCCGTCAGACCACAGACGATGGCGCTTCCGCTTCCGGCGCCCCCGTTGCCCGCACCTTCGCCGACGGAAGCATCGATGGGAAATTCCGTCGGGACGACCGAGTGCACACCCAACCTGACAACGACCCTGCCGACTACCTCGCGGACCCAGCATCCGAATCTTGGTCCCGGGCCTAATAATCTCCTGAGAAAATTAGCCTCGAGTCATTATCAGAGCTACACGACTGCCTTGACCGTCACCATAGCCGTCGGGATATTCCTGCTTCTTCTGAATATCCTGATATTCGCCGGGATTTATCATCAACGCGACAGGAACTCCTCATCCTCTGCCTTCGGGGACAAGAAGAAGGAAGAACTCCTGGAAGCCGGATGTTCCGGCATGGAGACGACGTGCGGGAAGCAGAGACTCTCCCTCGCCTTGGTGGATTCGCCATCCTCAACTCCACCACCTCACAAGGCGAAACTCGTTCAGGAATTGGAGCTGCAGTTGCAGGAGTTTCAGTGCTCGCCACCTCCTGGAGGTGGGAAGCGGGTGACGGAGCTACCCTTCTACAGCAGAAGTCCCTGCACTCCTAGGGCACATTCGCCATCACCTTTCATTCCCAACGACGAGGACGACGATGACGACGATGACGACGATGACGATGACGATCACGACGGAGTCCCGGAACCTCCGCCTCCGCCTAAGGCTCCTGCTCCTAACCTCATCTCCTGCCCTGGAATCTTGAGGCAACCAGGGACACCTGGCAGCGCCAAGAAACGAGTCCAGATTCAGGAGATATCAGTGTAGAGTGATAAGGTGCCGGAGCGACACGACCTCAAGATGACTAGAGACAGTCTGATTGCTAAAACCGGATTGACCTTTGCACCAAGTGGAATTACTCGAGGAATTGGAGCACCTTGTCTTCGTGGTTTAGGGTCAAAGTGCGACAGGGTGAAGGATTCAAGGGGATTCCAGAAGGAGATGATGATGAACCCCAAGGAGTTCTCATCCCCGGTGTGTCGCGAGAGTGTCCGAAGTTTTACTAGAGTGGTGTAAGATGTCTCCAAAAGGGCCAGAGAAGAAAATATTACTAAGAAAAGAGTAAATTGTAATTTTGTGGATGATAATTTTTCGGAAGAGAAAGAGAGAGAGTGTGTGTGTGTCCGGGTCCATCCTAATCATTCCGTTTATTTCAGGGGTGCTTACAAGTGTTCATTGACCGAGCCGCAATCAAAACTGAAATCAAAATATTTTCGATTAGAATGACGTATAGCAAAATATCGAGAGCTATAGTGAGATTCGCGAACACAATGTGGCCATGTTAGTCATTATTAATCGGAAGGGGTGCAGTCTCATTTTCAGTACAATTCTACATCTCCATGTCCTCATTCTTTCCATCGTTCCCAGAAAGTCCCAGTCCACCTGCGTCTATAACTATAGTCACCCCTTCCGATCTCATCCGAGAAAATCAGCGAAAAAGATGTCTAGAAAATGTTATCAATCGATCTGATCATTAACACGCTTCCCACAATTTCGAAAACTCAAGGAAAACGGCCGAACGCGTCGAAACTTACGACTCTCGTAAAAACCAATGAAACATAACCGGAAGTACGTAGTATAATTTATGTACATGTACCCATAGATAAGAGACGTAATGTATATCTGGAGAAGGTATTCAGCTCAAGGCGTACAAAAATGAGGATCTAACGTACGTAGGCGTGTGGCCGTGGATTAATACGTAACGCAACATAATGGAACGCACAATGTGTAGAAGCATCAGAAGGAGTTAGAAGGTAGAAGGTGATAAGCGATTATTACCGTGGAAAAACTGCCTGATTAAAAAAAAATAAAAAAATGGAGTAATTAACTATCCTAGATGAAATAAATAATTGTAAGCACCCCGAGTCTAAACCCGAGCGAGGGGCCATCCGTAAACCTATTTTAGCTTAGTCGAAGACACTCGACGCCTCGACAGGCAGTCGCAACGATCGCGTATCGTCGTCGTATATACTGTTAACGAGTATACCGATTTCAAGTATACGTAACACAATGATTTTCGAATTCAAAAAAGCTGAAAGTCATGAAGTCATCTTTTATTTGGAAAAACATTGTTTTTTCTCGTGATGACGAGGTCCGTCGTCGTTGGCTTCCGGTGTTCGAGAAACGAGAAGCCTCAGTCAGACCAATGGATATCCGCAGTATCATTCTGTTATTTTATGAGAAAGACGTCAAAATGAAGTAAACGAAGACTGCACCTAATTATGCTTTGGGGTTAATAGGGCGATTCTTTCGACTCGAACTTCTCTCGCGGCTCTGGCCAACCGACTGCCGCGATAATCGTTAACTTTAATATGCTCGGAGCTCGAGTGCTGGAGGGTCGGAAGGACTCGTTACGCCGGTAGTCCTGTATTCAGGATCATCCGGTATCAGAGCTACTTTGAGCTACTCGTTTTCCGGACATGGGAAACTACAAAATTTTGCGAATTCCCATATCGAACGAGCCGTTTCAGTTTTACGCATTCGAAATCATAAATACGTATACTACATACTTGAGACATTGTACATGCGCGATGGGAACACTATTAAAGATACTGAAGTTAATATACATTAACTTAATTACACGTACACATAAAGAAATAAACACAGTAAGAAGACGCGTCTATCAATGTTTCCGATGTTGGCATTTGTTTAAATAAATACCTAAAGCATTGAAAAAGGCAGGGACGGCAGTTCTGATTGCTCCTCGGCTACATTATCCTAGGAAATCCTCGTCCTGGCAGGAGTTCACGTCCCGACTTACTTCCGGGAGTAAGGATCGAGAGCCAAGAGATTAGGATTAGAGACAGAGCGAGGCTCAGGAGGTTCGGCGTGTCACTTGGGATTTACGAGAGGATCTACATATCTATGTGTGTCAGCCCGTGCGTCTAGTCTAGTAGGCCCAGGAGAATTTATCTCAAAAAGTAAGAGGAGGCACGATCAGGACGTCGCAACGTTCAAATCACTCGACTAATTGGCCACAATGGGATTACCTATGGCGGCTAATTAGATGATCCCGACGAGCCAGGATGTGGCTGAAATTCAACCGAGACGGATCATCCGGAATCTAGATGTTTTCTTGGGTCGATGAAACGATGGACTAATGACGTAATCCGGTAGGTGACTTCAGAGAGTTCTGGTATTAAAGAATACAGAACAAGGAGGTGGTCCAGGATGCTTGAATTTAGGACTCATTATTTTCCACGAGCTTAAGAGGATCCTCGGAGGTCCTTGGTAGGATTGAAGATTTTCAGGGAGTCTGGAACTGTCAACGCACGGGTCGCTCTTAATTTTGCGATTCTCTTGGAAAGGAGTCATTAAAAGTACTGATTCCGGCGGCTCGGGTTGCAGGTCGAGAGAATCCCTCAGGGTGCCTGCCCTTTCGAACTACAAAGAGGATCGGAGAACCGGCGCTGATGGGATGCGGCGGCGGCTGCTGCTCAGGGAAACGCCTGCACGATGTTTTAGGGTAATGGAAATTCCAGTCTCGTCAGCAGAAACGTTTTATCCGAGTAATCTTGAAAACCGTTCGCAGCTTTCTTTACGATGCCCGGTACACAATGGGACGTCGTGGTGGACGTGGTACTCCAGGGTGGGGGTGAGGTGGGTCCCCCCCCTGGAGAGCTGGTTGGCTGCGATCTGAAGGTCTAAAAGGGGTGGCCGCGTGCGCGCCACCACTTTCCTTCCTCGTGTGCGGCTCTGTATTGACGCGGGGGCCCAAGCATGAGCTTGCTTTAATGGGATGCTTCCCACCTCTTGAGGGTTGAGCCAACGAGATCTGCCTCAGGCTCGAGTATAATTAGTCATACCATACAGTCTATGGCATAGACCGAGTGGCTCGACTGTAGCTGCGGCTTTGCCGTTACATCATAATACAGTATTTCGCTTACACGTGGAAGAACGTTGTGGTCTAAATTGCACAGCTTCCGGACCTACTTGGATTTCTTGCATTCGCCATTTTTTACTTTCGATCGTTATTTATGAAATACTCCTTGCGCTCTTGCTTTATTTTAATCTCCCTGAAGCTTTGTCCAATCCTGCTCTCAACTGGAATCAGATGTTTCTAGAATAGTCTAGAAAAGTTACATTCGTTCTTTGAGACAGGCTTCTTGCGTTTCCCTGATTCTCGTATGCTTCTTGATAGAAGTCTCCAAGTTTTCCAGGGTCCAATCCCTGTGGACTAAAGAATGCAAGGAATTGCTGCTGCGAGATTAGGTTTCGCAGCTAGAGCCGAGTTTACGTGTCGAACTTTCCAGCAATAACCTAAATTCTTGAAACTTTCCTGTTGATCCTCAGCGAACTTCCCGTGCTTCTCGGAAGGCAGCACCAGTGTCCTATGTTGCGCTTCTGCTTGTAACCTATCTTAAGACAAAGTCTCGTGTCTAGTCCTACGGGATCCTCTTATCTGCACACTTTCGCTCTCAATGGCCTCGACATTCCGTAGGATGACTCTCTCGCTCGTCCAGGAAATACCTCAGCGATCCATGTTCTTCTCTCTCCATGTTACATTCATCTCGTTCCGAAGGTATCCTTCAAAGAAAATAAATACTTAAATTTTCTTCAATATTGTCATTTTTTGGTCTAACAATAAATTCCAATAAATTTCTTGTTTCTTTAGCAGTTGCGCATATTTTTGGTTCGAGGGTAGATCTGTCAGAATAAAATTGCAAAGTAGGTTAACATTAAAGTAGAAACGGTAAAGAAAATGATAGAGAATTTCAAGGAAAAGATGACAGAATGGATGAGAAATGATAGTTGGATTATTTCCTGTTCCTACGCTTGTGTTTCAGCAAGTGGATTCGATTCGGATATCCGAGAGAGACAGAGAGAAAGAGTTCCGCAAAGTTAAGGATCTCGAGGTAGTGAAAAGCAAGAGAGAGAAAGTAAAAAAGCCCGAGAAAAAGAAAGAAATGCAGATACGATTGGAGTTGGAAAAAAGTGGAATATTGCGATAGGAAATTCAACGTTTGATAGCAGCGAGTTCGATAAAATGGAAATAGGCGTGCGCCCCAGCGTGGAGGGAGCGTGGCTGTTTCCAATGCCGTAGATAAACCCTGGAATATCGCGCAGCCATATTCCATAGACTCCCGAGTCTCCTGGTCCTTCCAAGCAAAAGACTGCAAATAACCAAGAATGTCTTCTCCGAGATGGTCCGGAAAAAAAACCCGCGAGAAAAAAGTTCTTATGGTGATAACTCTGAGCGAGGTTTTCCATTGGATGAAATGGCAAGGGCGGCCTGTGCTAAGGGGTCTCGAGGTCCAATTCTCGAAGAAGCCAAGGAAACTTTACGAATGGCAGACAGGTGTCCTCCCGCGTGCTACGCTCCTGACTTCACGTCGTGACTACGGCTACTGGCAGTCAGGAGGGCAGCCTGTCATTTGTCACCCTAATACCCGGAGCTTCCGTTCTCTGTGGATGGGAACGCGTCTGTGGAGAAGATTCCTCTGTCGGATATATCCGGGTTTCCGATATAGGTCTCTCTGGGTATTTGTGCTCGGCTGGATCATCCCTCCTCGTAGCGGTCCTCGCCACCCCTCGTATCTATCTGTCGTGGGCGCGACTGGGTGATGCTCTAACGGGTGGATAAAAAGTCATTCCACCAGGGCTAGTACCATGTCGTATATATGTATAAGCTGAGACAAATGATATGGAAAATATTGAAATAGAAAACGTAGAGTCTCGTGAAGCCGTTATCTTGGCGAATCCGTTCGCTGCATTGGGAGACAGCAGTGCGGTCAGCTGCATGGCTAAAATACAGATTGATTGTTTTGAGAAGTTGAAATTTCGGAATTTAATTATGTACAGAGGAGATTCTGATTTCTATCTATTTTACTTGTAATCGAAAAAGGAAAAGCAGAAAGCATGTAAGTCTCTCGAGGATATTTGGTTCGCATGAAATTTAGGACAGGCGTAGGCATATGTATATGTATATTACCAATTTAGAGTATCCAGTGCCTTTGATTCCAGATTCCTTTTCAGATTACTTTCGATCATCGACATTCGCCGTTCGTCAAATTTCCTCGTGTCTTGAAATAATCGTATTTATATTGAGCAGCCCCTGCGAAATAACAATGCGTGAATAATGTAGAATTTTGAGGTGTGAATTGTATCTTTAAGCACGAGAAGCAAAGGCCCCCAAGATTTGATACACTTTATCAGTCGCAGCTTGCTAAGGCTCGTTATTCCAAGTGGAAGAAGAGGAAGCGAAGTCGTACAAACCAAACGAGTCACCCGGTATAATTCACCTATCAGTTTCCCAACACAAGTAGCAACGGTGACGCAACATCGAGATTCAGCTTCTCCGATTTTTCTCTTCAGTGGACTTAAGTTAGACCTACCGATTGTTTCACGTCTTCGCCTCGAATAAGCAGAGCAACAGAGCTGCGCCAAATATCCAGGCCCTTTTCCCAGTTCGCCTGAAAGCCACTTGCGAATAGTTCAGTGCACAAGAGTATCTAGCCGAAATCCGTGAAACCATTTGCGACAAGAGCCAGAATCAATCCAGTGATTTAAGTTTGGCCCTTATTCCCTTCCTACCCCTTGGTGGCAACGATGGGAAACTCTGCGCCACCCGGTATAATCTCCTGATTCGTACAAATCCCAAAACTGCCACCTCCCCTCCCACTCTTCCCTTCTTTCCACGAAGAGTGGCTACCAGCCTCCATCGCACTTTCAGCCTTGACTGACACGCGCGAAACAACGTTCGACGCCCCGACTGCCACTGTTCAGATTTTTCCCTCCGTTGAACTCAAACCGAGTCGTGCACAGGGAGTCAATACGTTCGATGCTCGACGATATCTGGGAATTTGGAGAAAGTCCAAGGGGAGTGAAAGAAGCGAAGAAAGAGCTGAGCACGTTCTTCATGGTAGCTTAGAAAATGTCAATTATTCATGGGGAAAGCAAAAGGCGCCAAAAGGAATGTCGAACCGGCTCACTCTGGATTTTCAGAGATAATCACGACCCAGTCCGAGCCTCCCTCATCCGCCTCCTTCCTGAGTTAGGTCAGAACGACGTCTAAGCGACGACAATGAGAACTAATTGGACTCGGGCACACGTAGTAGGTTCGCGACGCGCGTTTGTCCCCACAGAGTCGGACGGCACGCAACGTCTTGTCTTCGGCTGAGTTAATGCACGTCTGGCGTGTGTCGTTGCCAGAGAATCGCGTCAACTACTGTGATCCGTCGGTAGCCGGTCGTTTATATGTAGACTTAAGGTTAGTCCAACGGTTTGTTGTCTCGATCGTTCGGATCTGTGTAGTAACGACGTCTCGCGCATGCGCATTCGCTCGTGAGTCTCGAACCAGTCGCTGATCGCACGGGCTACTCGCTTTCTCACAATTCACCAATCGAATTATTGGGATCTTGTTAATATCCTATAGCGATACACAACATACAGATACTTTGACAACTATTACTCACTATTTCCTTAAGGAAGTTCTTCTTGTCAATAAAGTTCACATCCACACCGATCGGGCATTAATCGCCAGGGCGTCGGGGCGAACTGTCAAGTTTTGTTCACGATCTAAACACGTCGCATCCGAGAGATGTCTGTTTGTTGATAGTGTTGCTACGCTAGGAGGATAACGCTCATTTGGTAAGTACAACAATACGTATTACCAACAATGAAAAGAAAACACATTATTTACGAAATAGACAACTTATTCTCTTCGTTGCTCCAGAGACACGTGTTAGTACAGGGATTCGTAATGCGCGAAAACTTTATTTCCAATGTGAGCAAAGTCATTGCGAGTTTCCAGTGGAAATTTGCAATTCCGATCCCATCGACCTCGACCCTCCTTGAGGAGAAGGACAATTTTCTCACAAGCCATCGTCTCTCGTACACCCTATGAATAAGAATACTTTTCTTTGGGTCAGTGCTGCTGCGTCTCCGTCGATGTATATGGGTAGAACTGCAGACAGCTAAGTCCACTGTTGCCTGCTCACTCACTCACTTATTCATTCGGTTACTACCACTGTTCTCGCTCACTCACTTACGTCCATACCTTTTACCTTCTACTTGACCTGGTATTTGAAAGAATTGGCTTTTATCAAAAATTATGAGCTTAGTAGGCGGACGACGATTTGCACCAGTCACACGTATTCCAGGCACGAAGAATTTCGGCGTTACGCCTTGGCTGCTGTTGGGAAATACAGTATCATTCGAATTGATGACACAAGGTGATCAAGCGAGCAGGTTAAAAATATTGTCTTCTAAATTTGTTTGTTCCGTTGAAATTAAGGAGATTCTAGCATTAACCATTCGACATTGCATTTTTCATTACCGCATCGTTTGAAAGTCCAGATCGTATGTACATTGCGTAAGTTGTGTAACAGCTAAATAAAAACGAAGAAAATTCTTACGGAAGATAATAATTGCAATACAGGACACGAGACTCGCCTGGATCGTTAGACGCAATTATACCTTTAAAAGAGACGGAGTCTGATTAATAGAGTTATCTGTGTCACTCGTTGATAATATTTTTCTGAAAGTAGATTCTCAACGGATGACGTATCTGTCGATTTTGCGAATAGCCTCATCAATTGCTCCACATTCCGGTGCAGTAGAATTCGTGCAGGAGCGTAGCTTTTTTCTTAGGACTGAAATAATCGTCCGTAAAAGGGTCGGCCATGGGAGAGGCCCAATGGACTGTCAATGAGACGTCCAGCTGTGCCCATCCTGCCGCGATAATAATCAGCTATCCGATCGTGTACCTATGTGCACGGCTGTAACGTATATACGTACTTAGTTTTTCAAGCCCCACCACGATCATGCAAACACGGCCTAATAATATAGGACGCCTCGTTACACGCTCGCAGCAATCAGTCATTGACCAGCGAAGATCGGAGGATCGTGACGCGACGTTCGACCACTCACTCGGGCTTTCCTCTTCTGATCTCTGTTCTCTCTCCTCCTTCCTCCTTTCTTCCTCGCCGTCTATCTCTTTGACTCTTCCCCGTCCTACTGGAAATCCCTGTTTCTCTTTACTCTCCTCCACTCTTCTCCTCTCTCCAGACTCTTCATTGTCTCCTATTGAGAGTCAGATAGTCACGTGAGACAATTCATTCCACGTGACGACGGGCTCGACGCGATCTTCATCGAAGGCGCGACGACGGTGTTATCTTCTAGACCGGGGTGTCCAATAAAGAGTCTGCAGTGGGGGAATCTCGTGCTTCGACATATCTGACATTACATATTACTTGATTTTACGATCGGATAATAGTTGCCAGTCGAGCCGAAGCTACGACGGAGGCCAGCTAGGAGTTTCTCATCGATATTCGTCTCGCGAGGAACACAGTGGTAGAGCTCAGCTGTGACATCAGAAGAAATCCATACGAGGGATGTACTTGTCAGCGCAAGTGAATGAGACGGCCGAACGACTGAATTATCGAATTTAAGCGGCTAAAGGATCTCAAGGATTCTGCCCTGGGCCTGGTAATTCGTGCTGCCTGGAGAATCGCCGGTCGGTACTAATAACTTGTGTAACGCCGAAATTAGATTAGAGCCCAGGATCGACTGACCAAAAAAAAAAAAAAGAAAAGAAAAGAACTAAAAGAGTTGCAGCAGACGCAAGCAAAGGTGTTAAACACGTGACTTGTATCGGTCGCTTCTCCTACCGGTATCGTCTCAAGATATTAGATAGCAGGAGTCACTTGGAGAAAACAGATCGTCACTGCTGACCTGAACCGATCGTCGGATCGCCCGGTTGAGCGAGATCACTCTTCGGAATCGCTATGGAGAACACAAACACCTCGATATCAACGGAAGCACTGAAGAACAGGAGGGTGTCGATCAGCGAGCAGACACTTGGAATCGATAACGCGGCGTTCGAGCACAATCGAAAGGTTAGCGGAGCTTCGGAGCATAATTCGGAACATAGTAGACGAAAGTCCATTCTCCATCACGGCGGGAGCAACGCCGGCAGTGCCGAGAATATTCACCAGTACAAATTTGAGTTGGAGAACGGGAGGATCAATGGCAACAGGAAGCGATCGGGCCTGAGTCTTTCCAGCTCGATCAGAGACAAGATCGAATATTCCGAGCAACTCGAGAGGTAAGTCGTCCCTTTCGTGAAATTACTTCGAGTTACCTTCGCTTGTCTACGTTCTACGTAGTTTTCTCGAGAATTTTGGAAAAATCGGGAATTCTTCCGGTTCGTTAAACGTAAATTGACAGGTGGGAGGGACGTTGCTAAACTCGAAGTTTCTTCGACTTTTATTCAAGCCACGATGATCCTACGGGCGCGTTCGAGTGTTTGCTTCTACGTGCACGTCGTAAGAAAGCAATTGTATCGAGACACGCAATCCGTGACCTTGATTTAATGGCGCAAGAATTACCTGCTGACCCAGGCTTCAGTCAGTCACTCGTAAGACCACTGAGCGTTGGGATACCAGGGTCGTGCCAGGATTCCTACGAATTTATTAATATCCGGAGGATTTTCTCATTTCAGCTCGTGGCTCTATCTGTTTTGCGCTCGATGTCACGGACGTGACAACACACCGTCATGGGAGCCGCCAGGCTGGAAAAGAGCCTGTCCACAGCCATTCTGCCCCACGTACAGGAAGTTCGCAAGGATACTGTGTCTCTTCCTGCTGGGCCTACTGCTCTGGGGAGTGACCTACTCGATCATCGGCGATGACGTAGCACCGGGTGGTCCTCTCTTTAGTTTGGCCACCCTGAGCATCGCTGCGCACTTTGGCGGATGGCTCTTTTCACTGACGACCCTTCCGGCCCTCATAGGGATGCTCCTCACCGGCCTCATCCTCCAGAACACAGGGCTGATAAGCATCGAAGGAAACTACTCGGTCGTCGTCTCGAATCTTAGGTAAGTCATCTGCGCGCGAATCACAAAGAGTCAACGGATCGCTCGATCCTTCGCGTCGCGCGCCCGAGACAATAGGGAGGAAGGCTGATTGACTGCAAATCCAAAGTCGATCGCCCCTCTGTTTCCTTCTGCCCCCAACCCGTCCTTCCTCCTCCTCCGTCTCTTCGCACTTCTACTTATTCGTCTCTTCACTTTCCTCCTTCGCGCGTCCCGCCTCCTCTTCCTTGGGACTTTTAAGGTCGAGGCCTTCTAGAGGCACTGCATAACAAGTAGGTGGCATTGCAACTAAATAGACTTGCCGAATGCTGCCACAAGCCACAGTACGCTGCTGAGGCTCTTACTTTCACGTGATCTTCATTTCCGACGCTGCGAACTTCTCTAACCATGATAATTGGAAGTATGGATAATCTTCTCGGCCAGGTCAAACTTTTCTGTCAAACAAATTTAGTCTGTTAGTTTCGAAATTCCTTCTCGAACAATCTTACGTGGCCGCTACGCTTTTGCCGATACTCGTGCTTCTGCTTTGCGCTCATCACGTGACGCGATCCCGAATAGCACGTTGGTGCTAATTGCGGCGCGGTAAGAACGTTGAGAAATTGGGGATTCGATGTTTTGCAAAAGCGCTCAGACTTTTCCGATCACAATGCAAATATTTGCGATAACGTTTCTTCGACTGGATTTTCGATTGGTGCAGCTCTTAATCGAAAAATTAAAAGTTATCAATATCTAGAATTATAGTCGATGATTTATTACATCTGAATGTCCTATGAACGATCGTAGATCAAATCACTCTGTGATATTGACATTAAAACTGATAACACATCAATCGAGAAAGCTCGATTTAATTACTCCCAGATAAAGTGACACAGTGAATGATGACTTTTTGATAATTTTACAAGTGCCTTAAAAATTTCACTGTGTTACTAATCCAGTTTAGAAATGTTTTGAAAGTTTCTAGATAAATAGAACTCGGTCAGAACGAATTTGAAGAAGGAAACATGAAATTTCAGTGATTTAAATTTCATCCCTAAATATCATACGTTTCTATTTTCCCTTAACTTTCCCGTTTCTCCTGTCCAAACTAAGTCTGAAACAGGAGAGAAAATAAGAAAAGGAGAAATGTGAAAATAAGAAGGAAAGCGCCATGTGAGAATTGTCTATATGTATTAGAGCTCACGTAGCAGCGTCCCGGGGAGACGCCCATCCGTACTATTCTCCCGGTGCCATCGTCGTGACGCCAAGCGTCTTCTCCTCGAGCTTCCATTTTTCTTCTATTTCTATGGACTTTTATACGATTTCATCCCCCTTCCGGCCCCATTCCACATAAGACACCCTTGACTGCATTATTGAAAGTGCACAACGATGCACTAGTCTCGAACTTGCCGCCTTTTTTCTTCCTTCTCCTCTCAGCCCACCCGTAGCCATCGGTTTCAACCCTTTCGTGAATACCTGAACATCCGATGAACATTGAATCAAGCAGTTTCGATACACTCGAACGAACACGGGCATCTGAGAGAGATTTCTGAACGCCGTAGAAAACAGCCTCGAACATTCCTTACATCCCTTAACACTTTACATGCGTTACATCGGTGCACCAGATATAAGGTAAGGTTAGTAGGAGCCAGATTTCCCAGAGACCGTCTGATATACCTGTATTAATTTTGTTTCGCTTACGAAAATTTTTTCTTTATTCTCGAATCTGTCAATAGAATTTTGATTTTGATTCGCGATATCTTAGAAGGAAATTGACGATAGCGAAGGTGACTTAACGTGACCCAATGTGATAGCGAAATCTAGTTGTGAAACGATTACCGATTATCTTGTAACCACGATGGGCCTTGATACTCATCAACAGAAGAGTCGAGCTGCCAGAATTGCGCGGCATTTCTTGACAATCGACATAAGCTTCGTATCTTCCCCATTTACGTGTCGAGTCCATCTAATAAAATGCTCAGGCTCGGCTTCTTTCTAGCATCGAAATTTCAACTGGCCCGGCACACCTTGCGCCTCTTTTCTCACTTCGTTATTTAAACATTTCCTCACTTCCATTACGAAATCGCCGACCCGTCGAGCAATTGTTTCAGCACTCGAAAGAAGGCAAAATCTTTGTGAATTCTTTTGGTTATTTTGTGCCTTGAGTTTTAAGTGACGGGCGTCATCCGGCGGAATTTGAATAGCGACGCAAGCGAGTCCCAATTATGGGGCTTCCATGTGATCCAGTGCCGCGTGACGGCCGCACTTAACGATCTCTCATGAATTCTTATTCATTTAGTCAAAGGCAGTGTCTTCGTCGTTCAAAGGAATTCACGGCGATCGGCTTGAATCTTTCGAAAGAAAATATTCACCATTGCCAGCTCGATAATACCTGCCTTCCTTACGGTATCGCAGTGACGTTTCTGGCCGAAACTGAACCGAGATCCTATTAACATCTGGAAACTACGCGAGTCTCATTCGATTAGAAGGATTATCTGTTCGATCAAAGTATCGATAATCGAAAACCTATCGAAATCTTCGAAGCGCTTGAGTTAACAGCTAATTGATAACTGATCAATCATAGTCAACTCATAAGTGTATCATAAGTGAATCATAGTGAATAAGGAACTACGCGCTGAATCGCGTGTAAGAATCTCTGATGCGTCTTCGCGGACGCATTATGCGCGATTCACAGTCCACAAGGTGGATGCAGAATGAGCGTTACGGTCGCGTTACACAAGCCGTGTCCATAATGCGCTCGTAACGTTACGTAACGAATAGTGTCCGACTCCTGGTGCGTGGAGCGACAAGTAGGGCCGAGAGTGCACGAGGCACAAATAAACTTGGCACGTAGGCGCGACAGGGCGAACGGCGCGGAGCGGGAGAGGAAGGAGGATGGAGAGAGAGTAGAGCGCAGCCTACGTTCGTACATACGTGCATCCCACTCGCCTTTCCTCCTTCTCTGATAATACTACGCCGTTGTATTTATGCGCTTACTTTGCCAGCGCGTGTTTGTGTGGCTTACTGACTTACTGGCTTGTAGGTGGCTGCTGCCTTAGACGTGGCTGGACGAAAGGGAAGCTTAATGCCTTGCGCGGATCGGGATTATCGGGGAGCGCGAAAGCATGCCAGGAATTTCCTCCTTTCTGGGTTAAAAGCGCTAAGGTCGAACTATACGAGCGGTAAAATACCTTGGTGTGTTCATTCCTCGTGGACTGAATACTCGAACGTTCGACTTTCAACGCTCCTATCTTCAAGTTCTGTATTCTTCTTCCTCCTTCTTCTCCTCTATCTTTCTCTTGAGCTTCCTCGGATGCTCTTTCTCGGTTCATCTTTTTTCTGTTTTTTTTTCTTTTCTTTTCTTTTCGCACATATTTTCTCCGTCTATCTTTTGCTGCCTTATGTATGACAGAGGAACAGAGGAGGGACGGGTTTAGGTTGCGAATTTTCCAATTTTCACTAAGATGGAAGTAACGAGGGGTGGAAATTTTACTGAGAAACGGGAAGGAATCAGGTTGCCGCATTAATTATCAGCCCCAGGGATAGCGTTAATTAAGCATCTCATTATAACAGGATGATGGACGCCGTTGCGAATCAGATTTCGATATCAGTATCACGTAGAGCCGCTTTACTTTTAATATTTTTGTTATATTGTTTTTTATTTTTATTTTTTTCTTATATCGTCGACTTACATCTCATGCGTAATTGATCGTATGGCGGTTACTGATACTGGAAAGATTAATTCGAATGTATACAAATATTTCATTGCCAATTACGATCGTCATTTGATTTTCGATCGATCATCGGAATCTATATATGTCGATCGGTTATATTTTTTGGATTAATCAGATAGACCTTTCGATTGAAAACAAAATTTATCTGATGCCAATGTGTGCTGTCAGATTATCGTATTGCTCCTTTATCGTATGATTGATGTCGAAAAGGTCAATTAAATAGACATATATTGTTATCGCCTATTGATTGATTTCTTATATGTGCTATTAACTGATTTTAAATCATTTATATTGTTTAGATTAGAAACTGAAAACTTTCAATTCGATATTGTCTAATCTATATTTATCATGAGACGTATCTGTGTTTCGTGATTAGAATCACCAATTTGACATAGTAGGACTACTCGTGTTTTTCAAAATTAAAATCTAACAAGAGAATAACATAGCAGTGCCAAGAATGACCGGACGTTAGATGCAGCCAGTGCTTACAATGAGAAACTTCTTCCGCTGTTTCCATTCATTTTCACAAGGGGAAAAGTTGGAGTGGGTGTTGCGACATTTGAGACTTACCCCTAAAAGATTGTGGAACGGAAAGCAGAGCAGCGACGACTTTGTAAAACTGGTTTAGGAAACAGCGTGAAAACTTATCCTATTACTGGTTCCCAGCTTCCAGCTTCCTGCTTCCCTATTCCGACGTTCTGCTTCCCACCTAAAGATGCATAGTTCCCGAAAATTCCTTACGAAAGACCCGACTCTTAAACTTTCTTTTTTTGAATTTCGATAATTTATGTGAATTATCGCTTGACGGTTTATGAATTTTTTTTTTTTTTCGTTTACAGGAAAATTGCTTTGGTAATAATTTTAACTAGAGCCGGCCTCGACCTCGATCCAAACGCTCTGAAGAAGCTGCGAATCACGGTCCCAAAGTTGGGTCTTATCCCATGGTTCGCAGAAGCCGGAGCGGTGGCTGTGACCACGTATTTTTTGCTCGGGTTACCATGGGTATGGGGTTTACTCCTGGGAAGCATCATATCTGCTGTTTCGCCGGCCGTCGTTGTACCTTGTCTCTTTAGACTCCGCAACAAGGGATACGGCGTTGCTAAGGTAAGAAAAAGGGCCCCATAAAAACGAGCTGAAAGGATCGCTGCGAAGGAGCCAGACGAAACAAATTGAAAAATGAAAAATATTTTCAATATTATCGTACACGCTTTATTGATTAGGTAATATCTGTATGGATGCATCGGAGGTTGGTAATACAGAACTTTGTTCTTCGTTTTAACCAATAAAGTCCGTAGACGGATACCACCTGTAAAAGGTTTAAATCGGATAGCCGTGTGTATTTTTTGACAGAAGAAGAGGAAGAAAATCTATCTCTCGCGGATTCCAATACCAACGTTGAGACATGCCTCCCTGTACGCGCCCTGCTCCTGGAATAAGATCTGGCCGGTTCCCGAACCCGTCGTCCTTATTCAGACCAAATCCTCATCATGGCTCTTAGAATTCTCATGGGAATATTCTTGAGTCAACTTTACGTTGCATAAAGAAATTATCTTGTTCCCTTTGCCACTCTCCTTCTGGTCCCTACTTCGACGACACCTCCCTCTAACCTTTTGGCTTTTGCAGTACTCTTGGTAAACATTTGAATTAAAAGGGGAGAGACGAAGCAAGGAATTATATGAAATCTCATAAATATTAAAGAACTCTTCATTTTTCTGTTCCATCAGGGAATTCCCACCCTTATTATTGCTGTTGCTGGAATCGACGACGCAGCATCCGTGGCGATTCATGGAATCATCCAGAGCATCATGTTCTCCGACGATGCCCTTTGGTACCAGATACTCCAAGGTCCGATCGCCATCTTCGGTGGGCTGGGATTTGGAATCATCTGGGGTTGCCTTGCCAAATACGTACCGGAGAAGGGAGACGTGAGTACTTTTGCCTGAATTTTAATTGGATTTAAGAGTCTGGCATTAAACGATTCCACATGATTTTCTCGCTAATAAACTCAATAAAGGCAATTCAAGAGTGAACAATGTGAAGCCTTTGAAATGTCACGAAACGAAGGAATCAATTAGTGCTCGTTGGCCTGAGAGGTTGATGAGGTTACCACGAGGATAATCGTATTGCGCGTACACGTTGTTGTTTCAAAAGTCACATGTTGCTTATTGACGTTGAGACAATAGATATCGGCCGAGAATTCGTTTATCATTTTATTGTCGGTTGGACATTAAGCCGAGTTTATTATGCTAGCGAGACTGCGCGTGATTCTCATCGCCCCTGATTTATATGGCAATTACGGACTCTCTCTCCATCTCTCTTTTCGAGAACTCGAGATGTCTCGTGACTCGTGATTCATTCACTCGTGGCACGATTTAACTGATGTATCGTAAAGGACAGATCTCATTTTTTTTTTCGATTGTATATTAACGGATAAACAGTACTGACCTTTTACTGACATAAATAATGATGGTAGGAGAGAATAAAGTCGTTTGAAAATTATGGCAAGGAAATTTGAGATTAAGTGGTTCTTTGTGGCTATTCCGGATGGATCATCCCCATCCAGGAGTCTGGAGAAAGATATAAGGAAAGTGAAATGAGACTGACAATATGACTAGCGAAAGAACTTAGAAGCGGTTGAATCTATTATGGCTGGAGAAGGAGAAGCTGGAAGGGAGGATGGATGGACGGATGGAACGAATAAGAAAGTTGTCGGTTGGGCTTACTTGGTCGCTCGGCTACAAGTCGATTGTCCATTGCGGATCGAGTGGATTCAGTTTAGTCACGAGTGATTAACCTGCCGATACTCTCTTCAATCTGAAGAAATCGAGCGTACGAGGGGGCGCGGGAATGGCGCTTTCGAAATCGATCGAGGGGATTATAAAGCACATAAAACGTATCGAGATGGAGATTGGTTAGGTTCCGAATTTACCTCGTTCCCGTAACAGTCGGTAGTTCCAGTTCCCTTCCGCTAGATAGAAGCTAATCGAACTTGAAATACGGTCCGGTCAGATATTATCGTAGGCCATGGATGAGAAACGTGCGGTGGGTCAGTGGGACGTATTGGGGTACGTAGGTAGTATTAGGCGGACGATCGGCCAATTCCGGTACTGATATCGATCGATGATTTCCGTCAATTTCTCAAACGGAAACGCATCCCTGATACTAGACCAGGTATCCAAACCCGATAGCCGAGCTGATACCAGGCTAGATTAAGCCATATCGGATCCTCCTAAGTTGGGTCGGTTCCTGGATACCGTCTTTCAGATTGCTCCACCTGTCGTCGGAGTGAAGGGATCTCCCGGAGCTGTTCAGTGGGTTATAAGCCAGTTTAGGAGCCTAGGAAGACGAGATCCTGGGATCCTAGGATTTGGTCCAAAGGAAGAGCAAAGAAGGCGGACCCTCGGATTTACCGGTAAACAATATTGGGTCATCAAGTCGTAACGAAGGAGCAGCGCCGTCTCGAGAATTCGTATTTTAATTGATGCTGCAAGATAAACAAGGTCTTAAGGTAGATCTGTAGGGATTTATCTAAACGTCCCGTTGCCCGTTTCCCAAGATCATAACCGTCCAAGACTGTTCCGCACCTCGTAAAGCTACTCGAAAACTTTCGTAACGACTCGTCCTCGAACATTAGCTGCTGAACGTCGCCTACACCATGGCTTCGGGGTTGTGACCTGGCGCGTTACGTTGCCATTTGCTACTTCCACTTCCGCCTTTGGATATTTTGGCCGGTTTTACTTCCTTTCGTAAATCTCAGAAGAGTCGTAACGTCATACTGGCTAACTGAGGCTTGATTAGTTGCCACGTTTCATTTTATCTCTTTCCTTTACGGTCTGCTTTGGATATCTTCGCACCAAGATCGGCAGGGTCGACTCTGGAATCGGGAACAGTCTGATCTGCGTTATATTTATATGTACGTGGGACGTGGCTGCTCGCGTGCGGAAGTATTTCCGGTGCTCTTGGATTCGCAGGGTGTGGCGCGGGATGAGGATTGGCAGGGCGAGGGGGCCAAAAAGGGGTAAAGGAAACGAAGAGGGTGAAAGGAGATATGTGCTCGACAAGAGAGCATCGAGAGACAAAAGAGAAATTGATTTACCGTGAATCGTTGCAATTTGCTTCCGTTTGGTGAATGTATCTCTCAGACGGAGATGGGTAGGAGGGCCGGAAGTGCTGGATCCTGGGATGAAGAGAAAGGTTATAGAGATCGATGAGGGTCGATAGAGAAATAAAGAAATAAGAGGAACAGAGAGTGAGAGAGAGAAACGAGTCTGAACGGCAGGATGGCTCTTAAGGTGACCTAGGATACCGATATTCCCGATCCATGGACCTAGCCCAGTTTTCCCAGGATCCTGCAATACGGCACTGAGTCCTATCGCCGGGATCCTCGGGATACTCGGAAGGGTGTAACGAGGCCGAGAGGTTCGATGAAACGGAAAGCGTCCTTTCAGAAGGAAGAATAACATCTCATCGAGTCTATATCTACGGAAACGGAACTCCTTTGATCGTAAAAAAAAAAGGAGCCAAGGAGGATCGGACGAAGTAGGGAACCTTCCAGGGAAGGTAAAAAAGGTCGGAATGGTGATGATGCTTGCACAGTTTCCGAAAGTGAAGAATCCTTTGCGCGTTGTAACGTCCCTCCTTTCCACCTCGCAAATAGTCACCAAATTCCTGCGGACCCCAAAGACGCGACTCGGGCATGTCATAATTTGGCGCAAAGTCCCGTATCGTTCTCGAGGGCTCCAACTGGTGCGTATAGCAGTGGGTGCCTTCCTGCCGGCGCTTTTATTATTCTCTTACGTAAGAAAAGGATCCTATAGAAATACATTATAGTTGAATAGTTGACAGGGCGATATTTTATTGGGCTCCGAATGAACCCGTTCCTCGAGGCAGAGTAATAAAATCCCAAAACAGGATATGCTTCTCCACGGTCCTTTAAAAGCTCCCGGAACCCTCATGAATTGCAGATTGTAAAATGTGAGTTTTGCAATGAGCCGTAGACAGCCCGAGACCCGAGAGACCAGTCTAGAGAACGAGAAGGAGCAGCAGACAGAGCGGAATGCAGGGCAGGCGTTTGCGGAACAAGGAAAAGTTGGACAGAAGCTGGGACGAGAGAGAACGCGAGAGACCTGGGGAAGGTCATTGTCGTAGGCGGAAGGTGGGGCGCGGGGGGCTGAGGGTTTCCATACGAAGTGCGATGCCAATGCGATATTTAATTTGAAGCGAATAGAGCGGAAGGTATTGATTGGAAAATTAGAAATTCAATTCGTGCGACGAAGCTGCCATCGATTTGCCGAATTAAATGTTTGTGCAAAATCGGAGCGCAGTCCCGGCCAGCATTTTTGCCGCATCGGCACCTGCAGTGCTTGCCCCTTACGTGTCTCCTGGTTGGCTAACCTGTGTCTTATCCACCTTGTCTTCCTCGTTCTCGTCTATTCAGCCCCAACGGGGATCTTTTTCCAAAGAATGGAACCGCTATGGACATTTTCATATTCAGGTGGGAGTAAACCGAGTGGGAAGATCGATGACGGCTGCTTCGGTTCCTATACATTTGTTATTCCACCTGTCAAAGTGAGGAAACAAAAGAAAAGAAAAAGAAGAAAAAACTTAGTCTTGAGAGAATATCGAGTTCCGAGTTACCTCACTGTGCTTTCATTTAATTCTGTAACCACGCAGTTGTCGACTGCTTCTACGAAGAGACTCGCAGGAAACCAGGGAAGCTTCTCTCTTCTTCGCTTCTTCTTCTTTCCCTCGAATCATTAATTTTAGGAGTTTCCTGCGCTCATCGTTCTTCCGCACGAGTTCCTCTTTTCAAAGTACCCGGTACACGTTACACGTAATACCTTTAAACTGGTGCTAATCGGCAGGCACGCCCCCCCCGCTCCTCCCCTTACTTGCCCCTTCTCCCCCTCCTCGAATTCGACGCTGTCGCAGTCCAAGAGATCTCGATTCCTTGGGCGAACGATTTCACTATAATTCATTCCTAATTAAAGCATGCTCGAAAACACGCGATTGCCACATTCCCTTAGACTATTTGAACTTGGAAATTCCGACGGAGAACGAGAATGATTATTCGGAGACTGAATCTCTTTGCAGTATCCGCTACCCACATACTAGCATCTCCTATCCTACGGGCTTGAAAACTTACTATTACTTATCCGTGTATACTATTTCTGTGAGCTGTCGTGTAAGACCCGAACGAACGATCTCTCGTGGCCCCTGTGACGCGTTCGATAAAGCAATTTAAGAACATGAAAAGAGTCTCTCCGGTAGGAAGGGAGTACGTGCGAAGACAAAGGAGCTTATGCTCATCCTCCTCCTCGCGATCGTGCTCGACCTTGTGCTTCTGGCAACGATGGCACTTGGCAATAAAGTTGATTCACGGTCCGCAGTCACCTTCAGGGAGTACTTTACAAATGTAAAATTGTTAAATAACTTTTAAATCGTTTAAGGGATGCATGCAATAGGTCTGGTAGAGCAAAAGAAGGCGATCACCAGGTTCGAGGAGCGAGTTTCAGATTTATATTGATAACAGTGACAAAGATTAGTTGAAATGACGACACATGCTCCAGACAGTCGCATCCATCGATACGCAATCGCAAGGGTTTATGGTCGCCTGGAATTTCCAAAGGCGCGTCGCGTCGCCAACTTGAAGTCGGCTAACCAAGAAGGCATCAGCAACGAGCGCGGATTCTGCCGTCACGAGGATGAGACCACTCGTCTGCAGCCGGTTGCATTACATCTTTATATAGACATAAGAGGAGAGTGGCAAAGTCACCCCTCGACCCCCCTCGCCCCCCCCACGTCCCTCCGCACCCCGAGAGCACGAAGAACACGGATATAACCAAAAGAGAATCCGTGGAAGCTTCCCAAGCGAAGAGGAGAACACCGGAGGCCCAGCCCGGTTTCCTCTCTTGAGCTTTTCGAGGGCGCGGGAGGGAGGGTGGGGTAAGAGGGGGAGAGAGCACGTACCCTACGTATCTACGAATGTTTCTACCTATCCGGATACCGGAGCGGCGGGTGGCAAGTGGCAAAACGGACTATTGCGCACTTCCACGTGATGCACCGTAGCTGCTTTAGGTTTTACGTTATACATTTTGCATCGCATCGTCTGCCGGTCCACACTCTTCTCTTCCTGTGAATATCCCGTGTTGCTATCTCCCTGTGTACGTACAACATCGTAGGTCGCGCGACTCACGAACGCAATATTCGACGGCTTATTGCAATATCCAGCACTCGCGACTCTCGTCGAAACTGCATCTTCGCTTTGCGGCTGTACGTGTCTTCTTCTTATTCTATGAATTTCGGGATTATCCGTCTGTGCCGTTTCTACATGATTTCAAGGACTTTGTACATCGATAACAAGTTAATATTGGCTTTTGAAGGGTTTCTGTTTTTTTTTTCTTGAAAACAAAAATTTTCACGCGTCGGTCCATAGGCGAAAATTCATTCGCTGGAAGATATTGTCTTTCAATCCCAAGTCAATGTACAAAGATATCATTGGCTATACATGTCCAATCGTATAGGCAGTGTTTCCGTGTTTTCTCAAGCGAAACAATTCTATCATTATTATCCTATCGTTCAGGGATACCGCGTCAGCCGTGAAGAGATTGAACGATGCTTCCAGCGAGGTTCCCATGGCGATACCATCTGTATTCTTGAAAGCGCGGAGTCTCAGTGTATTGGTTTGCTGAGTTGACTAACTCCCCCCCTCCACCCCCGCCTACGCACCCCTCGCTACCCTCTACAAATGTGAGTCGACGCCTTGACCAATTTCGCGGTTATTCCACGCGGCTTATTCGGATCTTTGGCTCCGCGAAGAGTCGCTTCCCCAAACGGCGCAGTCGTTAAGCTCGAACACATTAGCAGAACCGAGAGGGAAGTGAGTGCGTTAGTTGGCCAGGGATGCAAACGATGGGCGCCCGCGGGGTGGCAGTTAACGTAATCGCCAGGGAGGATGAAGGAGTGAAATGTACAAGTGGGAGAGAGAGGCTGGATATAAGGGGTGGTACGAATAAATGGCTATGAATCTTAGTCCAGGGTCGACGTGTCGTAAGCGCGTAAGCCAAAGGTCAAGGACTCAAGGTAAAGCCGATTTCATCAGTTTGAGGTCACAGACTGTTGCCTGTGAGCTTGCGAGTTGCAAATTGCCTCTCCGCTCAGAATCAGTCGAAGGAGCCACGTAAATTAGAGTCTTTAATTAATTTAACATTTTTTCACATCGACGTCACCGACCGTGCACGAAGTTACCCTGGAGGACACGTGACACTAGCGACACCTCGTGCGATTCCCGGTACGAATTTGAGGTTGGAGTACCATTCCAGAGGGGTAGGGTCTTTTGGTAATTCAAAGATGGTTACCGGAACATGTCTACATAGACGCAATATATTACGAGTCTGTCAAGGGGAAATCTTGGAATCTCCTAGAAGAACTTCTGTATCGATTTACTGTTTCATCTCGGTCTGTTTTATCGTTTCAGTCTTTCTTGGTTCCCCTACGAATTTTGATGCTCCTCGGAGGGGGGTTGATCGCTGTCTTCGGCAGCGAATCCATCGAACTTGGCGGCGCTGGACCGTTGGCCGTCGTCGCTGCAGCCTTCGTCAGCTGTTACTTCTGGCAGCAGGAAGGATGGGATGTCGATGACGTAAGTAGTACTTGATTAATTCATTTAGACTTTGCCTGCCTTGGTGGTGGATATGCGCAGGCGGAAGTAGATCTGGGGATAGGAGTAGGTTGCTTACGGGTAACATCCAACATTCGGTCAATATCCTCCAGGATCCTCGAGGATCTTCCTGCTTTCTAATTCCTCTGGATTATTCAATGTGTTGCCGGTGGTCAGAGTGCTCTTCGCGGTTTCTATTCTCCACTCGTGGATGACTCCTCGCGTAAGCCTGTATTTCGTGACGGGACTACCAGTTGTAACAGTTGTCACGACTGTTCGCGGGGTTGGGGGGGGGGGGGGTGCCTCAGCACACGAAACAAACCCCATGTCGCCCAGCTTGTAGTTTACAGTTTAAACAACGGATTTATCCGGGTTGAATTTAATGTTTATACGAGCGGGGACTCGTAATAAGATACGTGCTGATGATAATTATCGCAGTGTAATTAGCGCGGTATACATGGGCAAAAGACCCAGTGGGGTGAATACGAAGGGAGATGAAATAAAAGTGAAGAGTATAATGGAGAAGAAAGAAATTAAAATCAGACGGATTCGAAAGAGTCCCATCACTCGAGGGTGGGTGGTGCTGGTGCTAAACCGGCGCTGGCTGACTGGCTCGGTTGGTTTGGCTGGGGTCTGCCTTGTGGCTGGGATCTAGCGAATTTGAAACCAGCCTTAATTACGGCGCCATGGAAATTACCGTGGATATACCAGACGGGCCAAGACTACGCCGAGCCACAAATTCCAGACACGTGGCAGCCCGTGGAAGAGGCGGCTGCGAAGGTGGCATTGGTGGTGACGGTGGTGGCCGTAGCGGAGGTGGCGCTGCGTATCCGTTATGGGCATTGAGGCTTCCTCGATGCTGGCTGCAGGCGAATGCGGGTTTCCAGGCTCCGGCATTTATTTACTACTCGCGGTTTTGCACATTTCAATTTTCACAAGTAAATACGAATGGCGAAGCTGTAATATTGTACAGCCACTCGGGCTGCCCTCAATTTCATAGAAGCGAGTGTCAGGATTCCGATGGTAGCTGCGCGCGGTGCACGTGGCGCGTTTAGCAAAGACCAAAGCATCGAGCGCGTTTCGCTTTAGAGAATTTGCACGGAATTCAATGGGCCTTTGAAGCAGGATGGAAACGATCTGAGAATTCCCATATGACAGCTCGTATGTTAAGGCGAAGAAGTAAGGGAAAAAAGAGGGAGAAATATAAAGAGCCGATAACGTGTCAAAATCCCGTTAAGGTATAATAAGACCCGAGAGTCATTTTACAGGCGGAAGTTTTATTTCCCCCTTATAAAGTGTCGGCGAATGCCGCAGCCAATCGTTGAACCTTCGTCCCTCGTTCGTTCTGGAACTCGCACTTCGTCATTCCTCGGAATCCAAGACTCGAAGCTCAACTTTCTCAATATGTTTCCCACAATCTGCATCCTATCGCCGTTCAGTTGGAATTCGCGACGGATGAGTGGATTCGATTCTGTTGGAGGTTGACGCTCCTTTACATATACATATAGCGAGCAGCATGGAGATACGTATAGACGTCAGAAGGGTCCAGAATGCATATTTTCCGAAATCCACCTATCGCTTTATTGTCTCTATATGGATGCAGGGGAAGCACTCGGGCTCATAAAAGTCCACTTTACTTTATTAAACGGATATCGTGTTACACGTGTATCGTTCGCCTTTCCTTGGATCGGAAAGTGGATCATGTCGGGAGAATAGATGGAAGAGGAAGCGAGAGGAGGGTCTCGTCGTTAGAGGAGTGGGAGAAAAAGCTTGAGGAAGTTTTATCTCGGTGAGCGGATGTGGCGTGTACGGGAAACTCGGAAAAGTAACGGAAAGTGAGGCAAAGTAACGAAAAGAAAACTGGAGCAGAAGGAGGAAGAAGATGGAACCGGGATATTCGTATAAGACTGGAATCCGGGTCTGGACCACTGCGAGTCCTTCTCATACTCTCCTTCTCCCTTCGCCGCGGTACGCCGACCAAGAGAGGAATCGAGCCGCTCTTACCGAGAGTACGTTGTTGCGAAAATTGGAGAAAGAGGAATATTACAAGAGGACGGAGAGGAAGCTGGAGGGAGAAAGAAAAAAGAAATTTTGAAATGCAGGTTTCGCTCATGAGAAAAGTTCGCAAATGACACTGTGGGTACAAGCGTGTTTCCTGGATTTCTGAATTCGCCAATTCCTTACTGTCCCTTCAGTTTCGCGAGCACAGTCGGCAGTTATCGCAGTTGCCACAGCTAGAGAGTTCGGCTCGTAACACTGACTTGAGGTAAACTCCCTTCGGAACCGGCAACTGGGAACTAAGTTTATTCCTATTTACCTCTGCCGGTAAAGCGACGGCTGCTTCGTCGGAATTCTCTGTGCTTTTGTAGGCAGCAGGAACCCAGGAACGTGCAGACGCTGAGCTTTCGGAGGAATTCACGTCCAAACCGAAGCCAAACTCTAGTCCAGTACAACCGCCCTATTAGACGCTCCAACGGACTTCTCCATTTCCTAAATAACTTCAGATTAACATTTGGCAGCAATTCCAACATTTGCGACAGTCTCTTGCTTGATCCGATGCGAAATGGAGAAGCGACAATTAACGAGTTCCTAGATTCATTCAGACAATTAGGCGACACGCTGCTGGACGATCCTGCATGCAGTCCTTTGGCCGAGCGAATAATTTACAGAGGGGAGGGAAACGAGGCACGAAGGAATAGCACGATTGTCAGGTGAACGAACTGGCAACCTCGAACTAGCTCATCTCAATCGGCAGGGTTAATTAATTTTCACCCAGCTTCCCGAATGATGCAATTCAATTACGCGTAATTAATTACCAGTAGGCAGAAGCGCCCTCACCGGAAATCCTCGATCCTCCGCCAACTTATTTCTAAGACATTGAGTAATTCTCCCATGTATATATACACGTTCCGTCGGCTGACCCTGACACGCCCGACACCATCGACACGTAGTCTGACCTCGCTTGACCTATTAATGGCACCCCGAACCTTATTCCCCTGCTTCTTGGATCTCTTTCTTAGAAGTTCCTCATTAATCTTGCCTCGTTCTGTCTTTTTCGAATTACAGAATCCCGTAGCAACGTGCTTCGAGATTTTCTGGATGATGTTCGAGCCGATCTTGTTCGGCATAACCGGAACTCAGATAAAGATCAACGAACTGGAGGGCAGCACCGTGTACCTCGGTCTGGCATGCTTGATGGCTGGTATCATCATACGTATCGCCGTAACCGTTCTTGTTGGGATTGGATCAAGACTCAATCTCAAGGAGAAGATCTTCGTGTCCTTGTCCTGGATGGCCAAGGCCACCGTGCAGGCTGCTCTAGGTCCAGTGGCTCTCGATATCGTGGCGTCTACCAATTCGGAACAGGTCCGCTACGCCGAGATGGTCCTGATGCTGTCGGTCCTCTCGATATTGTTAACGGCGCCGGCAGGTGCCATCATCATCACGCTGTCCGGTCCGAAACTCCTGACGAAGGTGACTGCTCCAGTGGCGCCACCGGAGGGTTGGAGACACCGCAGACAGTCCATCCGAGATATATCCATCATCAACGAAGATCCTGATCTGGAAGACAAGGCTGAGGAAGGGAAACCCTGAAGGCTCGTGTTCCAGGTGACAGACAGCTGGTGAAGAAACCGTCGAGACTCTTTCCTCCTTCCATTCGGTCCACAGTTCTCGAGTTCGCGTGGTTTCTACTCGCTGCCTATGTACAGCTTCTGAGAGACGATAAGATGGTTCTGGTGACGTTGCCTGTGACGCGTCACGGCCAAGTGCCTTCGATAGTTTGCATTCAGGAATACGTTTACGAGTTTTAATCGTCTGGAAAATTGTAATTACACATTTAGATACTTATAATCAAATTAGAGTATAGACATCTATGGCGGTACATCCCTCACGTGTGAAAGCTTGTGTGATGCGATTAGAAATCTAGAAACTTGATATCAGGATCGTGTTAAATCAGCGAGACTATTTCGCGTCTTGTAGATATACCTGTATACATATATGTAGATATATCAGAGATACGTACGCATGCGCATGGGCATTCATATATATAGATACGCAGATACGTAGAGATTCAATGTAGAGCTGGAGCTTGCGGGGAGTAAATAAACAGAGAAGCATCGTTTAGTCTTTCCGGATAAATTGTTCCTCCGCAAGTTGAAGTAAGCATGAGAAGCTGAGAATTTGAATAATAAACTTAATTTTTTTTTTGGATAAAGACCATTCGTCTAGGTCTTAAATTTTCATTTTTTTTTTCCTCCTGCATTGTTCGAGTCACGCGAATCTTCATTCTCGTGATCGGTAATGACTCGTCCCTAACCCGATTTCTCGTGAAAGCTCGCGTAAGATCGGGCAACAGGAAAATTAGTGGAAGATCCTAGCCTAGAGTTTCAAAATAAACCTCAAGATCGAACCGGAATTATTGTTTAGAGGCTGTCGAGGGATATCTTGAGAAATACGTGGGTTTATATCAGCGACGAGTCAGAGAGGATTCGAAATAACGAGATTCTTGCAGAAGATGCAATTGCTCGCAGAAATAGATACTACAATGAGATTCCAGTGCTTACTATATTTTATTCCATGCAGTGAGTACAAATGCACAGTGACGAATTCGCGTCGCAATCGATCTGTGCCGCAAAATAATATTTATATTAGGTGAAACGTTATTCTTTAAATTGTTTTATAAAAAAATAAGAAATGTAAGTCTCGCTTATTTAAAAATTAATGTTATACATTATCTTATAAGAATTATAACGTTTTCAAGGATACATACATCGTACGATTAATATCCAGGTACGAGAGACAAGATAATTTTCTTTGGCGGCGAGTATAAAAAGCGATGGTACAGACACACGTTTCCAGTCGCACTGGAAATTCGCCAGGAGCGCACGGAATCGTAAATCAGTCGAAGCAGCGTTCACCATTGTCGTCTCGATTGTAGCTTTGCGTTGCTGATTGTGAAAATTCCCAATTGGGACATCCGATCAATGTTAACTCGATTGGCGTTACCGATTTTACGAGTATCGAAATCCCCAGAATCTTCCGAAGAATCGGTATTTTGATTTGACGATTTCCACGCTCCCCCTTGTCCCGTTGTGCTTGTATCGCTCATTTTCGAGGCAGTAATAAGCAAGCTCCGTGTCTACTGATACCGGCAATGACGTCTTTGCGTGCCGATCGGCAGGAAGTTATGATTTAGTCTCCTCAAGTCTTAAACGAGAATTGGACTTCCGGGCTTGCGGGTATCATTCGCATCAGGGCGACGAACTCGTAACGCAAGTCGACATTATTGTACTACTGCTTGCGCTTTTCTTCACCCTGAATGGATCGTGAATTCCAGTCGTGCTGGCCTTTGCGTTCTTGACTAATCCGAAGCGGCGGCGCAAAGCATGGTAGACCTGTCTCTTCAGGACGAACAGGATGAATATCAGGACACCCTGAAGACAGTTCAGGCAGTCCGAGGCGTAGAAGATGTAATTCCAGTCGATTATCAGATAGGCGTAGTGGTTCAGGATGTTTGAGATGAATTCGAACATCCAGGTTACACCCATTACGATGAAAAGTTTGACGTTCATTAGTAATCTGTAAAAAAAATTATACGCTATTATTTCAAAAGATTTTTGGATGTCGATAAGTTTTTATTTCTTTAAGAGTTTAGCTGTTTATTTTTTAATATCTGTAGGTCTTACGGGAACGACTAGTGCTGTCCCTGACAGGGCAGCGAGGCTGGACCAATTTCACAAAAGTTAAGATAAAGTCGAATAAAGATTGCTCATCTCTGGTATCCGTGAGATTTCACCTTTTTTCTCACATTCTAATTTTACTAGGGCATTTGCCTACTCCTCCACTTGCATGTAGTTTTTATGAGGGTCAAATTGTTTATTTGCCTTTTGCTCGTCACGCGAAATCGAAACGTTTTTCGGATTCTCCAAGCACGTCATCTTTTCTGCTTCGAGATATCTCTTCAGCTCCGCGTTAAACGTTGCTAGCGAATCAGAGAAATTCAGGAAGATACAGAAATGTATCGCTTCACCAACGAATATCGTCCTGGTCGAGGATGAGAACGATCTCTTACTTATTCCGAAGAGAATCGATGATTTTCAATATTCCTGTAACTTTAACCATCTCTTGTTCTCGCAGAGATTGCACAGAGGTTCCTAGGGAGTTGAAAAGTGAACCACTTCTTTAAGGGTGTTTCCTGAGCTTAAGGGGGTTTTCCCCAAGGAGCAAAGATAAACACAACGACAGATATCTCGATAGGGTAGCACATTAAACACAAGGAAAGGACGATCGTCCTCGAACAGAGGAAACGCCAGTAAGTTTGTCCAATCGAACCACAATCAATCCAGATGCTGAGTCGACTTTGAGTTTGGTAGGAAAAAAAGTTTTCCCAAAAGTTTCTAATCGGAAAATTATTCAAAGTCGAACCTAACGGTTTTCTTTCCAACAGCGTAAATCGGAGAATGACTCTCTTCCCGTTTTCGTACCAGACTTTATTCCGGATGCTTATTATCTTATAGTATTAGTATTAGAGTCGCGTGTACTCTGCCGGAACTCTCCTAAATTCTATGTGAATCGTACGGAAATCCATATATGTATGAATTGATGTAGATTAGGAACAGAGGTAGGTACCCGGCTAACTTTAACGATTCCCTCGGGTCCAAGTATAGTTGCGGAAACGAGAGAAATTCGTTGGTCGCAGTGGCAGCAGTGGCGTCACATAATTCCCAAGTAGCAAAAAGTTCACGGTTCGCTGCTGATGTAACGTCGCGACGCCAAAGTATTCGCTATTGGTATAAAAAGGGTGAAGGCGTGCGACAGTGCTGCTCATTAATTACGTGGCTATGCTGCTACGTAGCGGCCTGTGTTTATGCGATATATCATTCGTTTCCGGCACTCTCCTGTTACCTCGGTAAGTGACGTCACGTCCGAACTTTGTTTAAGTCTCCAATTTTCGTGGTAACGGCTATTTTTGCGAACGTGACTCGTGACTCGGCAGCCACATAACCCATAAACTATAAACAGGGTGGAGGATTTTCCTTTTGCATAGCAGACTGCATGGGACATTGCTGTGCTGTTGAGCCGCTGTTTCCTTCGCGAAATGAACGTGTTGCTGAGTTATTTCGCGTGAACACGTTTTACTGACTTCTCCAGAAGAAGAATAGCCGTGCCACCGTGAAGTTGATACGAAAGAATGAAAAAAATATGAAAAGACAAGACAAACTTTGGACAATCGAAAGATTCAACTTTTTATTTTTTTCAACATGATACGTACGTCAGTAGTATAACAAAAGGGGTACTGGACACAAATTCCTGCACTGTTATTTACCGACGCTTCGAGACCTCGTCGTCATTGAGTCTTAATATCTTTGAAGAGGGAAAGGTTCATGAAAGAAGCTGACAAATCTATTCGGATCACCCTGACACTTTATACCTAGCACCACCCGATTTCTGGTTACAAGTTAATAAAAGGGGCTACACAACCCCAGAACTGTTCATAACCCAAAACTATTTTTCATTGATAAACAGACAATCAACAAGTATTTTTTGCCGAAAGGATTATTCAGTCTAACGAATGGACGAAGCTACTTGAATCCTTATAACGGTGGTTTTTTCAACTGCCATTTCTCCTCCACTTTTCCAACTGCCAATTTTCCATTTTTCCATCTTCCAATTTTCCAACTGCCAACTTTCGAAATTTTACCTTACTACTCTTTCAAAAAGCAGGTCACGGCTATTAATCGAGCAGTCACGCTACACAAAACTGACTGAGGGACAGAGGACGCTAGAAAATGTCACGTGAAATAGCCGCCGGCCTGGGTGCGGTCCTGCACGATTCAGCACGGACATTTAGCAGTCGAAAGTTCTGCAAGCTTCTAGAAGTTTCTTATAGGAACCACGTTTCTAATGCTAATCAAATTTCCCTACATTCTCTCCCATTTCACCTGAAGTCGCTTCGTTCTGCTTCTTCATGATTTTTGTCTGCTTCTCTCAGATTACACATTTATACCCAGTTATCAATTTATAAAGAATACCGTTATCCCGAATGGGGGTTATTACAGTCTCGCCGCAATCGGTTTAATCGGCTTCGCCTATCCACTTCTTCAATTATACAATCTTATTAAAGAAGCGGAAGGAGCAAAAGCATCTCAAGTGTCGTCAATGACAGTGAATAGATTAGACTTCGACTCACCTGGTTTTGTCAGCCCGGAAACGGCGATTACGTGAATCGGAAGGATTCGCCATGACCCTCTGTATTTCCGATTTGACACGATTGCAGCTTCGCGCCGTCAAGGCAAAGAACACGATGTTGATTATCAGTTGAATCATAGTGGGAGCAGTAAAGTAAATAAATTCTCCATGATAAATCGATTCATCTGAAAAAAAATATTCGTAACTATAAAAAGATTGAACGGAATTGACAGTTAGAATACTCTCTCTTTACGTAAACGACGAGCCTGATACAATAGCCTGTTGCTTCTGCGGGACAGGCGGATGGCGCTGTTTAAGTTCGACTTCCGTTCTCGTAAACACTTATCGTGTCTCTGCTATTTTAGGCGGCACAGTGAGGACTAAATTATCCTGAATTAATATTTGATTACAATCGATTAGCGGTCGATCAGAGGGGACAATAAGATTCATATTTTGGAATGATTCTAATACTTCCGTTTGAGGAAATGCACGCGTAGGACTTTGGCTGGATTAGGGGATCGTTAATCAGAAATGGAAGATATATGGTCAGAAATGGAACCTTACTGACTATAGGGGACTATAGTCAGGAAGGAAGCAGGCGGATGCGGCTGGGAATGCATTGCACTCTATTTAACCCTCTAACTCGGTTCGCTCGCTCGTTTAACAGATGCTGGACCGGCAGCTTGGAAAATTTAATTAATTTTCCCATCTTCGTTTTTGCACCCTGTTCGATTATACACCTCTCCACACCGAACCACTCTGTCACACCTATAACCTATAACCCTTTCGCCCGGTGTGAATTACGTGGCTGCGCAATTGGCAATCCCATTGGTGGTCAATCGATTGAAATGCTAATGACTCGCATTCCGCCTCCTCTTCCTCTTTTAATTCGTCTCTAATGAGTCATGATGATGTTCCGTAAGGCGATCAATCGCGACGTCTTTTTCCTTTGAAATCTTTTAATTATCACGCAATTACCCACGATCCCTAATTGCACTCAGTGTGTGCTCACGTGTGTATAATAGCCAGTGTAAACGGGGGAAGTACCGTGAGCTGCTACCAAATACGTCGAGTTGACCTAACGACCTCACGAAATTCATTGAACCTCCTGATCTTTCCTGGACCTGATTAATCTGGCCCAGCCTCGCCGCAGTGCAACTTCTCATGCGATTCTACAAGTTTTAATCAAGGCGAGACCCAATTTTAACGAATTTTAACGAATCTTCCCGATGACAACTCAGCCAGACTGTATCATAATCAGTTAATAGATAGGATTCATGAATCCGACGGACCTTTCACCCAGCCATCCCGTAGCCCATCCGTCAACAGAGTTCCTCTTGTCGCCCGATATCCCGATCATCTACGACTTACCGCAACTCCACGGCGACAAGAAAGATTATAAAACTTTGAGTAGAACTTTTCCGATAGATTTATAGTCCAATTTTCCAAAGTCGACGGAGACACTTACTGTGGAACCAACAACTCTTCTTGCCGATGTATGGTCGGAAGTACGGATTAATGGAGTCGTACTGATCTAGGAGGTAGCCCAGGCTGCAGATCAATAGGGGTAGACCCCACGCGTAGAGACAATAGCACAGAAATCGTTTACGCTGTCCGTCACCCTTAGCTGCGCGATTTGCTGCTCCTGAAGCACCACTGCAAACAGAAATAAACCATCGTTAGAAAGGAAGTATTTTTCAAAAGATTTTATTAATACGGCTCTCGAGAGATTTCATCGGATCTTTCGTTAAACACACAAACTGGCCGTCCAAAGTGAAATATGGTTTGGCACGCGAAAACCGAGAGGACCGGAGGTGGATGCTGCGCGACCATGGGAGACAATGCCTTTGTCTTTTGCTCCCGTATATTTTCACAGTCTTCCACTACTAAGAATCAGAATCTTCTCGAAGAATGACACGGATAGGTGTTATTCTCTTTTACGCAGCATCCACGCGATTCCAGCATTTCGGAAAATTCGCACGAGGATGAAAATGTGGACGAAACCCATTGAGATAGATAGACGAAATTCATAGCGAATGACTCAACGCAGTTCAGCGACTAGCTCGACCTTGAAATAATATGCGAAATAGCAGCTGGAATGTGAATCGTTCTACGGTCACTTACCCGAAAGTCCACCAGATATCAAAGCACATAACGTTGAGCCACGAGAAAGTCGATAGAAAAGCAAACAGCATCACGTAGCCTGAAATATAATATAATCATTAGATATCACTGAGAAGTAATTGAGATGTTTAATAATTTTTTCTTTTCCTTTCTTTTTTACCTAAAGTCACACAGTTTAAATTCCACTTTAAACCGAACTCCTGTTCGTCTTCAGGGCTGCTCCTCGGAGTGGACAAGGTCGTGAAGACCAGACATAGAAATGCCACCAGGAGGCTGCTCACGTAGCACATGAGAGTTTTCCCATGGAGATTTTGCAGTCCCGGTAGACATACGTAAACCAGGAGAGTAATCAGGAGAAAGGTGCAACTGGTCATCATGAGTACCATGTTCACGTAATATCTGAGATAAGAGATAATAAAAGGTAAGAAAGTTAAATTTCTTATATTCCCTAAAGTCCTTTTTTTTAGTAAGGTCCTGCTTGTACCTCAATGTACATCGATAAAACCAGGAACAGGTACGTGAAATGCATACGCGAGGAACAGGTACGTGACTAGTAGCGGCAAGAGTGGATATCGATCTACTTTGGTTGACGGTAGAAAAATTTGAGAATTGCAAAATTAGAAGGACAAAGACAGTCATTTAGTAGATTTTTGTAATCTGTTTTCTCTTGGCTGCATCCGTCTGCCCCAATTCACGTTTGATTCGTCTCGCGTAACCAAGAATAGGAAGCACCAAGGCGCAAAGCACGAAGCACGAATAACTATAGGATTATTCCCGTTTTATCACTGACTAAACAAACCGGTCGAGTGGCCAGCAGCTCTATCTGGCAGCATCCGTTATTTCTGCCGAACTCCCTGAAAATCGCAGCCATGCGAGTCGGTGGTTTATATTCAAAATTATCAGTGCTTTAGATATGCTGTTGTCATTATGTTATGGTCCAGGTGGTTTTGAAAATTGAAATATTTAATATTGTCCCGCGCACGAGGAATTCTTTATCGGTCGGCTCAGCTAACGAAACAGCTCGTTAATTATTTTCCTATAAATTACCAATAATTCTCTCCGGACGTAAAATATTTGGTTGTTTGTTAAAACTCTCATGGAGCTGTGCAAGTGATACGAAAATGATAACCCTCGTCGTGTCGCAGCCTCCCTGGCTGGTCCAGGCCTGATAATAATTGAATCAAACCCATTAGTCACCTCTTCAATTTAGTAACTGGCATGATCCGTGTCTCCCCAACGTGCTCCAAAGTGCGAATCGGTTTTTAATTCGAAAGTTCAGCCGGTCCAGATGAAAATCCGTGGCTGAACTTTTTCATCCATACGTCTTCATCAAGCGCTGATTCGACGGAGCACTTTGGATCTCCCGGTAGGCCTGGAATGGCTGGAAGGGATTGGCCCCGAATTCATCTTCGAGTGATCAACCCTTCCAGCCCTCGTGGCGGAGGGTGGATCTGCGCACGATTTCAATTTAATATTCACTCCTAATCTTTCCTCGGCCAGCTCCAATACAGAGGCTTCTCTCCGGGTGCCAGCATCCCGACTCATCGATCTTCCTCGTTACCGTGCAAATCGCGGCGGTAAACTACGACCCTGCCTGCCTGACTATCTGCCCGATCCCTTATCCAGTCGATACCCAGACGTAGACCTACCTGGTGTTAAGCACGTCATTCACGGGCAGTGGATCGAAACATACGAAGGGATAGAAAGCGTCTTGGGTTCCCGAGCGATTGTAGAGAAGATCAAAACAGAATTCCTGGTGCTCGTAAGTTTTGTATCCAGGTACGAAAAGATATCCTTCCGACGTAATGTGCCAGTTATCGTGTTTCTCAACGGGATACATCCCGTCCAAGCAGGGATTGCCAATTAACAGACCGTAATCTTGAAGGAAAATTGCTGCAGTTAGTATACCTGTCTTACAGAACGGAACAAGGAATGAAACATTTTTGAGATTACCTGTAGCCCGAAGGACGTCCTCGGAGCGGTTGGCAGTCATGGTCGAGATTTTAGAAATTTCCTCGTGCAGTTTATGGACCGTCATGTGACTAGGAAGCGGCTGACATATTCCGTTAACGAACGCTTCGTCCTCGCTGCAACATTTCCTCAGGCAGGGATGATCCTGGCAAAATTCAGGTTCCCGGCATACGCGAATCGTCAAGAGGTCCTTCCTGGGATTAGAGTCGACACAGGAATTTTCCTGATTCACCCAAAAACTCTTGGCCTTATTGGCCATTGGGACTGAAACCTGAGAGGAAGAATTTTTGTCAGATCTTAAAAACTTTTTTTTCAAAATTTCAGGGTCGGCCTGAGAAAGCACAGTCTTCTCAACAAAGACATTCTTTACATTTATTAGAAAATTAAAGGCCTCTCTCAAAGCTTTCAAGAACGCACGCATGAGGAGACGAAATGGCCTTTCCGCTATCTTACGTTCGCCTTGGCCATTGACCAGGATCACTGACCACGTTTCCGAATCAAAGAAAACATCCCCTGACGCATCTTACTAGTCTGATCCCAGCTTGGATTTTCGTTTTCAGCTTTGCGTTTTCGGATCGAAGAGTGCCGAACAGGACTCTCGTGCGGTTCGCCCGCAATGCGGGCATTCGCTCTAGGTTAGATACGCCCCTGCGATTCTCGCAGACTCTCGACAGATCCATCGACGAGAAAGATTTATTTACCGTGCAAACTCGATCTGTTCATACCGAACCAACCCTTTTTTCCACCCCCTATTCTTACTATTCTTACTGGACAATGGAATGGATTGTGCGCTTCGTGTCTCTTCAAACTTTTTTTTTTATACATTTCCTTCGCTCTTCCTTTTTCTCTCATTGACACTCTTCCTCGTCTCCGATTCGGCGTCTGTCCTCCTCGACGCACCCACTGAACTCTTTGAACTTTCTGCTTTCTCCTGGTATACCTATACTTGCATAACACCGTAAACATAAGCATAGAAAGAGCCGAGGAAGCAATCCAACTCACGCCCGCCATATCTTGTCCCTCGAGAGGGAATAAATTATCGAAGAAAAAGGCAGACTCGCTCGAGTTGTTTTCCACAACTACCGGCGCCCCTACTCGTCGCTCGGCAGAATCTCTTCTCAGCCTCTTAGACTGTAATACTTGGCAGCCCGTATACGCGGACTTGTTAAGTTTTAATTAAAGGTATCCAATGACAATAGTGTGACTTCAGTATGACTCAGAATTCAAGCATATAGATATAGTGGTCCAAGTACACAGGTAATCTACTATATACCGTCGTGTTTTCGTTAATTTTAAATATCTTGGGTATTCATGTAATTTCCAGAGTTACTCTAGTCATTTAATCTGCGTGTGGAAATCTGAATCAGAGACGAACAGCTTCGCCATGAAATATTATGTCATTACTGTCGTCGCGAGGAAACCAGTTTTGTCTCCTGGAGAAGACAGTTTCCCACGTTAAGTAATGCATGCTACTTCAACGTGATATACTCCGAACTGTCAGGTTTTCTGATTCAAGTATTTTTATAAGATTTAGCATAACCTACCGAATATCGTTCCTCTTGAATCACGATACTAGCGTAGTATCAGTAAGCTTTAGCATAAATCATTGGGGATCGAAACACGGCTTTAAAAAATTATTAATAGATAATTCAATGTATTCAAATCCATGGAAAATCCATTAATCTTTCTTCTCGAAAATACGCGAATCAAATGATTTATCGCAGTACAGAGAGATATGAGATTCGCGATAAATATTTCATAGCAGTAAATCACTATTAATGTTGATAGATAAAGATCTAATTATGCGGTCATTGGCTTACCTGAAGTTGTCCCGAGTGGAAATTGATGTCGGTGACATTGACCTCGTAGTCCATAATTGCATGAGGACACTCGGGTGGCCCTCTGAGGAGGGTGACGTACTCCAGTATACCAAGACCGGCTACTAGAGACGTCACGGGAACTTCCTGTGAGGCAGGTACGCAGGCTCTGCTGGAAGTGCTGAAGACCTCTCCCGAAGAGCAGCATCTTCGAAGAGGGAGGACTGTTGGCTGGTGGATGATCATTGATTCCTCCTTGTAATTCGGATTTTCTGAGGCGCAGTTCAGCACAGCGAGGAAACTGGACTGATTGGTCCGATAAAGGACATCCAAGCATGCATCAGCGGAAATATCAAGTGGAGCGGAGGCCAGGGGTGTACTCCTGAGGTTCTCCGATGGGGAGCATGTTGGGAGGCCTCTGGAGAATGGGTCCAGTTCGTAGAGTTCCAACGTGTCGTAAGGAGCCGGTATACAGGCGAAGACGTCTCCATCGGTTGATAGAGCTTCTCCTGGTGAACAGCATCGACGGATTTTAGTAGACTCTGTGATCAAGACCTCGTTCAGGAGGTAGAGATGGGTTAGCAGAAAAAGAGGGATGATCCTCATGGGTTTCTTAGGGACGCGTTCTCTCTCTGGGAATGACGTCATTACGGTTCTTCCTTGGTCTCGTTCTTGAGGTACGTGATGAGGAACATGCATGGGAACTTTGAAAAAGTATTGGCTGTGCGCGGTGCTTTTTACACTCTCGAGATTAACGTGTGGCCCATTTTTCATTTGACCTCCTTTGAATTCTCAAATAAAAGCTGCGTCCGTCACCTCCTCACTTTCTTCAATGTCTAATCTTAGGTGTGCACTTAGAGAGCAGTGACGCTCCTCCTTGACATGGGTGCACCAGGTTGGTCTGCGACTTCCGGTAATTCGTCTCTTCTCACTTGGAGGTTATCTTCTCTCTTTTATTTTTTTTTCAGGGTCGCACCACTTTAAACCGTCTTCAGTGGGCAGAAGCAGGTAGAACGTAAGAAGGAGGCCAGGAAGAATTTCACCCCGGTAATTTTCCTTTTGGTAAACCTGAGCGCCCTTGGCTAGTTCCTCTAGACTCCGGAGCAACGTTCACCCCTTAGGGTTTTCGGCCTTGTTCTAGTGACCTAGGACTCCACGGAGATTAGTCTAATGCTCTCCCGCAAAGGCAATATACATGACCTAGAGTTACGTCGAATCGAACCAGTTCGAAATGTCGGATCCGTCGTTTTCCCGCAAATCAAAGAAATCGAAGATCGGACGTCGAGGAAAGCGAGGATGCAGAAGAAAATTGCCGGAAGCGATGGGAGAACACAGAAGGTCCTCAACGAGGAACTTCCGATGGTCGTTACGGTTGGGTTTTACTCCCTCTTCACTAATTAGCTATTTAATTACTTAAAACTTCCAAGTGAAACGGCCGAGTTATCCGGAATATCTTCTTTCTTTTCTTGTGCTTCCCACTTGATCTTTCCGAGATTTCCCAAGCAACTCGGAAAAACTCTGAAGCTGAAGGAGACCCGACGCGAGTAGCGAATTGGTCTGATGTGCCCCAAGAGCGACGGAGCGACGGAGCGAGCGGCCGAGCGACTGATCGGACTAATTGAACAAGTCGGAGCTGAGAGAGTGGTGCTGGTTGATGATGTTGCTGCTTGCTGGAAGGCTCGGACACGGAGCCACTAGGCAGGCACGCACGTCCATAGTGGTCAGCTTCGATGTATTCGTGAGGATCAGCCACGTGTCGGAGTATAGGCACGGCATGGTGAACGTCGCCGACGCCCCCCACTTAGATACGACGTTTCTTTTTACTGGCAGCGACGCCTCCCTCTTTTTAACAGGGACTGGGAATGAGAATGATTCGGAGTTGATCTATGAACACGCGTCGCGACGCTTAAAAGTGGATGATGAAGCAAACACGTAAATTCTTTGAAATAGGAAGACCGGTTTTTTATTATTGGCAAGAGCCTATACCATGGCTACAGTAGCGAAGAGGTTAATTAAAGAGTATCCTGGATTGTCGCCAGACCGCATTTTATTTCCTTCTAAATTATCTTTACGAAATTAGAAATAGTGTTGCCATTCATTTTTTATGGTGACCTACTGCGCTCCAGCTGGATCGGGTTATCACTGTGCTTATTCTCTAGTTGCAGAATGAGGAACTTATGCTGTAACAGCATTGTGGCTTTGCTTCTTACTGAGCGTCATAAAAAGTCTTGCGATTTTTTCAAATGTTCGCTTACTCCCAAAATTTGTAACAGATTAATTATTCTCGAAAGGTATATCCGATAATATAACTCACGTAAGCCACAAGGCTCGATTTAATCTCCAGGCAAAGATCAACCGCCAAAATGACTGTTCCGAGAGATTCCACAGTCATTTCCGCACATTCTTGAAAATTCGCAACTCCTATCCGCATACCTCCCTATCTCCCTCCCTGCGAATATTTCACATGCCCCTAATTAAATTCGAATCGTGACGCCGGCTCAACCCTCTTCGAGAAAATTGAAAGAAACCAGGGCGAATAGGCGAGGGACGGCAGGGGTCGTGCTCTCCGACAATTGGATTCCTGGAATAAATTAATTTGTAAATACACCCCTTTCGCAACTCCTGAAGGCATCGTAACAAATGGCACCAAGGGTTGATTAGCGGACGCTCCCCACGACCTTGACGATAGTCCCAGCAGGATTGCGCGAGAGATTATCAGCCGAGCCGCGGATAGGCACTTTGGTCTCCCCAGGAACAGCTGAACTCGAGAGGCTAATTGACACCGTAGGCGCCAGGGTGGATCCGTGACGACGACATCGAGATATGACGTTCGGAGTCTATAGAGTCCGCGACAGAAAATGAGTTGCCAATTAGAGAATGGGAAAGCGATTAATTTGGTCAGACAGGAGTAATGTGCATGTAGAACATCGGTCAGCGGGGTCAGCCTCGAATTACATACCCAGCACACTGACTGGCACATCCACTACCGTTTAGCCGTCACGCCCAATGATTAATTATAATGCTCATCAGCGCTATCGTTAGCGGCTTTCCTCGAATCCTCGTTACACGCTGCGCCGTCTGTCGCGACTCACGACTCGCCATTTGCTTCGTATACAATCCAACAACGCCGTTTCCAGTTTCGTCCCTTCTCAAGTTTCCGATTTTACGAATCGTCACAAGAGGAGAGTTACGTTCAAGCGACATTTTCTAGACCACCTTCTGGACTCTCCTTAACTTATCGAATACACGAAATCTTCGATAATACTGTGAAAACAATTTTTTTACAAAATTTCTAAATTATTTTCCAGAAATTCGTCCAGGTTGGTCTCATAAACGTGTCGTGTGTTGTGTCACACGTGATCTCCTCATGCGATCAACACGAACTTTGTAAACGTTCAGGTCAGCCATAAGTCGACCAGACCAGGGTATCCTCTTTCCGGAAATTCCACTGTTTTGTAAAATGGCCGACTAGTGACATCCTGTACGAGCCATAACAAACGATAATGTGTCGATGCATGAATTGATGGGAAAAGAGTGGACCTGCAGTCTACTTCGTCAATTTGATGCTATTAAAAGGCTGTCGATGCTGCACAGCGTCCGTCAACGTGTCCATTGATCTAGTCATCGCAACCGGCTTCTTCTTTTTTATTAATTTATTAATTCTGCAGGCTTTGATTACATCACCCGTCAGCTTGCTTCTTTCACGCCATGTATGATAACAATTTGAAAATAATGACTTTCCAAACGAAGCAGCCATGTATTACGTTGATCAATGTCCTCTGCCTCGTTGTGCTACGCAGTTATTGTGATATGTGCACATAATTAACGAATCAAGGGTAGGAAGGATGCTGGTCGAATTCCGTTAGTCATAGACTAACGAGGAAACCAATTGGTTAACGTCCCAAGCAGCAAGCATGAGTAATCTTCGTTTACGTTAGGATGTATACAATAGAGACGTGATTTAGACGCGAAACGTTCGTTTGTAAATGGGGCCTCCGAGACTGGCCAATCTGCTGGTCATAAAAACGTCACCCTATCGTCTAAGTCATCGCAGGACGGTTAAGTAGCCTCGAGGAAAACTGGCAACGAAGGTGGTTAAGAACGCAGGGGGTTGGGTTGGTATGAAGGTGGTGAGAAGACGAAGGTTCAGCTCACAGGGACGATAGGGAAGCCTCCGTGCCGATAACGTCAGCTCTAATGATCGATAAGGGAGGCGGCTGATTTCACCTTGGGGTGAAAAGAATCCAAAGGCAAGTTAAGGGTCGGTCGGGGCGGTACGTGTGCAGTGGCGAGTCAAGAAAATATCAGAGGAAAAGAGTGAATGGAACGCTGGAGGCTGTCAAACGTAGGAAGAGAATTCTTCGGGATTTTGCAATTGTGCATTTGAGATAAAGGCCTTTGTAATCGTTAGTTAATGACGAAGAGAGGTTTTTCATGCGACAACCAGACAAAGATGAAGAAACGATTCTGAATTTATCCATTAGCAGCCGGCACCGTCTGCAACCCTTGTGGAATAACGCTTTTGCGTAAATTCCCTGGTATTTCTCATCTCAAGACAACTACTTCTGGTACACGTGCGCGATTCACTACGACCCAATTATCATCTGAATAAATTATTCCCATCGGCCTTACCTCTATCCTTCCAATCCTTAGTCTCCTTTCTTCTCTTTTCATCGCCAAGAGAATTTTGGCTGCTCAAGGAGCAGCTTTACAGAAGACCTCTCAGAATTTCTCTAATAAGCACAACGTCTCTCGTGATCGTAACTGATCTGTAACCTTCCGAGTCTTTTTTATTCTTCGATGGTAATTTTTCTTTCCTGTACTGATGCTAATAATTGTCAGCTTCGCATCGAAACATAGAAGGAAGCAGACGATGGATGGCATGAGAATATGGTGGATGGCACCCTGGAACTAACACGTGTTTGACCGATCAACCGCAGGTGGTCTTGGACCCTGCAACACCTGCGAATGGCAACCAATAGGACCTATGAGTACGTGCCAGTCTAAACAGCAACACCAACATAGTAGCATAACGGGCATATAACAGTTCCAGGAAGAACTGTCAGGTGGCAGCACATGCCGCGGGGTCAGAACTTTAAGTGAAAAGCAAAAATGAGTAGGGAGATGCACAACGCTACGATTTAGCGCCATGATTTTTGTATCGCCTAAAACCGTAGCGTTGTGCATCTCCCTATACTCATCTCCGTGAAAAGCATCGAACTCGAGATTCGTCGTCGACTGGAAATTCGAGAACGCTTCGATAATATCGCATAGCAGCTTGATCCTAGGGAATTTCGGGTTGTCGAGAAGGAGAAGGACGGAGGCTGCAGCTGGTGCATGGGCGCATGCAAGACAGAATACGTTGCTTTCTCACTCAGGAGTAAAGTGGTTGTGCGTGCGGGTGCGCTTTTATCAAATCGATAAATTCCTGTGGCCTTCGTCTTTCTTCCCAACAGATCAAGCCTGAACTGTCAAGTCGCTGACTTCAGGTTCATTCAGGGACTCAGGCGCTCCCTCTCTTGGCAGTCTGGCTCTTGGGAAACTATCACTTTCTGCATTTGTGTATAAAATATTAGACTGAGAACATCATGTAATTCATTCGTTCGGAAATCCTGAAATTGTGTCTTTCACAACTTTCGATATCCTTGTGCTCCAGAGTGTGGTCCAATCCGCAGGCGATCCGACCGATCCGTGGGATCTGAACTCCCAGTCACTTTGACGTCGGCGTGGATGTCCTCCAGGAGTTCGATCTTGACTTCGTTATCTCTCGGCTCAACGATTCTGCATCTACATCGTCGACAGCAGCATTTAACATCGCTTTGATGCACCCTGTGTACATGCACATGGATCTAGATTAATGATATTCCTTATGCGTGTGTTATTGATACCTAATTCAAATCGAATAACTCAGTATTAACAGGGTCCTTCTATTCTTCGAGAATGATGGATCAAAGTGGGCCAATGACACCGGAATCTCGTTGAAGTTACACCTGTTCGTGATTAATCAGTGATATTACGACTATTTCATCGTACGATGAACTCAAGCGATTATCTGGAATGGTCCTAGCTGTGTCAGTTAACACCAGACTCAATTACCTAATAAGATATTGCTGAAACGATGACTCGACACCCTTGTTGAGTTCAGATATTCAGGATTTCACGGAGTTCAGGTGATTCTATGACATGTCGGAGATGTTCAGCTGTCCTAGAGAGGCTGTACGGGTCAAAGTTAAGGTACTTGATCAGCAAGATCTTGTCTTTGTGACATGTTTGTTTTACACAACTTTATTTCTATGGACTATAATCTGAATACGCGTTACTAGTTAAGACGAGGATGCACGGTCGATGTAAGAGATGAAATTTTTTCTCGTAGAAATGCGAGACACGACATCAGCCAGAATACCGGAAGTTCAGCGTGGATCCTCAAATCACATCGATCGAGGTTTTACAAAGTATCCTAATCAAGGCATTTGATATTAAAGGGTAATTTTGAATAATCACAAATTTATTTCATTAGAACCAATTGATTGATCGCTTTGTTTTACTCAAACTCCATCGTTTGCAGAGAATTCACGGTGTCTTATCGAGCAATAGACGATTATGGCTCGGAAACGTATTTATTTCTCTTATCCGACTGGGACCTCGATGCTGCATTTATCAGGTGAGTTTTAATTTTCATTATTTTTATGAACCCATTGCTGCAATAACCAAACGACTAACCATATTTTGTTCTTCAGTGCTTCGGAGCCATATCTCTACCTTCAAGTCAATCTTAAGCCTTTTGGCGAGTCAGGCGACTGCGAATCCGACTGGGAGCAAAATGCTCAGGAAGTGGCTACCAGACAGGAGTCCGGTTTTCCTTACAAAACTCCAAAATTACCAGGACTCATAATGAACAAGGTGTAGAATCTCATCAAACTTTTGTTTTCTTATAGAAAGTGACAACGACCTCCAAGAATAATGAGGTTGCCCAATTTACACAGATGGAGAGAACCCTGAGCCTGGTGCAACGTGCTCTAGGAAATTTGGGCGAGGAGTCGCACCAGACTATTCAACCTCCCAGGCCACCGCTCATGGATGCTGAGTTCCGAAGATTTCTCGATCCTATTGGCCAAGTGATACATTCCAAGGAGCTTAGAGCTGTCATATATTTTGGTGGAATTGAACCGAGTTTGCGTAAAGTAGTATGGAAGCATATACTCAATGTGTATCCCGAGGGTATGTCAGGTCGAGAGAGGATGGATTACATGAAGAGGAAGGCTCTGGAGTATCAAAATCTTCGAGAAAGATGGAGGAGTCTCGTTCAAAAGGGACAGAATATTGGCGATCTGGGCTACGTTACGGGGATGGTACGAAAGGATGTTCTTCGGACTGACAGACATCACAAATTCTATGGCGGATCGGATGACAATCAAAATACCGCCAGTTTATTTAATATATTGACCACGTATGCTCTGAATCATCCCAGTGTCAGTTATTGCCAAGGTATGAGTGACCTGGCGTCGCCACTTCTGGTTACGATGAGGGACGAGGCTCAGGCTTATATTTGTCTTTGTGCTTTGATGCGAAGACTTAAAGATAATTTCATGCTGGACGGTATCGCTATGACTAAAAAATTTGCTCATTTGGCTGAAGGTACTGATTTTTTGTAATGTTGTAGAATTGTTTTCAAATTTTTTTTTATGGAGAAGTTGAAACTTTTATTTTGTTTAAGGTCTGCAACACTACGATCCGGATTTTTATGCTTACCTGAAATCACACCAGGCGGATGATCTGCTGTTTTGCTACCGCTGGCTGCTCTTAGAAATGAAGAGAGAATTTGCTCTGGAGGATGCACTCAGGATGTTGGAAGTTCTCTGGGCAGCTTTACCAGCTTCACCTCCAAACGGGGAACTCTCTCTTGCAGAAGTCCCGTTTCCCCCAGCTTCACCTCCACCCAGTCCGAATGTTAAACAGATTCGAGAGAATGCTTACACAAAAGTCTGTGCGATCAGAAGACAGAGTTCCTCGGCGAGCATCGCCAGTGGTAGGAGAAGAAATCTCAGTTCGGATGAGCCACCGTTAGAGACAACCAGTGAGAATGGTGAATCCAAGAGGTAACTGACTTGAAACGTTATATATAAAAATAAGTAAAATTCCAAATAAAATTGTCTCGCTATTTTAAATTCCACTCATAGCCGATAAATATAAATAACTTTTTCAGATCGATCTCACCTTACGAAGCGTTCTCCGAACCAGAGAATGATTTGACTTCCGTGAAAAATCGGAAAAACATTTCGACCGAGAAGTGCCTGAGTACCGATTCCCTACAAAGTAAGACGAAGCGAAGTAATTTATTAGAGCTAAAGGATCGTCTGACTTTGGTGAACAGAGAGAGAGGCGACATGGGAGATGCCGAGAAAAAATGTGCGAGGGTTGTAAAGAATCTAAACGAATTTTTGAATTTTACGACTCTGAACAAGAGTAAAGTCACGCCGAGTGACGAGAGGGAGCTCAGGCGGGTCTCCAGTGAGAGCGGAGTCGTCAGGGTCGTCCGGGATGAAACGAGTTCACCGGACGATTCAACAGACTTCTTCCCAATGACTACTTCCATGACGAGAGAACTGAGACTGGAATTAGAGTCCTTAGATAGACAAGTTTTTGGGCCCTCGCCGCCCAGCGAGCAGCAGTGCGATTGCATCCTCTCCAAAAGGGAAAGTGAAATTGCTGAGAGCGAAACGGAAACGGAAGTAGCAAGATGTAGTCCAGCAGCGGATGTCTTCGTTTGGGAGAATCCATTGCATTCGCTGCAGCAACGTCATCATCCAGCTACTCCGGACGAACAGGCCGAGCTGGAGTATGACGGCGAGATCTTGGAGGATCAAAATGGCGTCAAATCCGTTACTCCAATAAGATTACTCAAGCGTACAGCTAGGTCAGTTAAAAGTTCAGTTCTTCGAGAATCCCGTAATCGTCTCGCAGTGTCGCGAACGAATACGGTAGAAGGAACTATTTCCAGATCGGAGTCTGCGTCGGATAGTGAGGGCAACACCGACAGCTGGCACCAGAATACGACAGCTCCCGACAGTCCGACTCCACCGATCCAGGAACACTGCGAAGAGGCTACGGAATTGACCAATCTAATTCCGGCCGGCACTAGTGAGGATCAACTTGGTGGTGGCTCATTACCACCACCCAATGAATTCGGTGGTGGAAATCCATTCCTTATGTTCCTCTGCATTACCCTGTTGTTGCAACATCGTGATTTTGTGATGCGGAATCAAATGGACTACAATGAAATGGCAATGCATTTCGACAAGATGGTCAGACGACATAATGTCACAAGGGTGCTCAATCAAGCTCGGCAGCTTTTTGCGGGATATCTTAGAAGACATTCTGCACCTGGGAGACCGGACTATGTAAATGTCTAAGGTAATTCCTGTCCAAAGCCTTCTTTTGAGATTAATCTGAATCGAACCGTTAAAATTCTTGCACTTGCGTAAATACTTAATTAGAACATTTCTTAATGGAACTTGGAATCTTGGTGCTCTTGCCCTTTCGATGTATATTCCAAGTTACGAAAGACTAAGAGAGGCTAAAAAGTGTTAAGCTTTTTGATCTTTCTCTGTCAACGTGACACCCCAACATAATCACATAATCACACATTACATTCACACGCGAAACACTAAAATTTAATGGATGCACAGTTGCATTATCCCAGAGAATACCTTTCCTATTAGAGTTAAGTTTTTAGCTTAAATTTGTAAAATAAGTACTACTATCTATAGTTGCTGAACCTTATTTTGTTCTTCAAGAATGTGCTTAAGGAACGACAATAAAGTGCATTTAATTTTATCGCATATATATCTATCGAGAGTGTACATAATATCACATAAATAATTTTTATTAGTCTTTCATAGTTTATACCAACAGAATTTTTACAACTATCAATACATCATTATGGTCTAAAAAGTATTAAATAGTATATACTATAATAGCCCACAAGCGCTAATTATCACTATCAAGTAGCTTAATCAGTTCTTATACACCAAAACTTTTGTAAAATTATTTTGTACGCAGGCTATTCAGATGTTTACTTTTTTCTGTTTCCACCACCACCAGCTAAGATCGATAGGATTCTTACAAAGATATTCAGGGTATCCAAATAGATGGAAATGGCACTACGAACAAACACAAAAATTCGTATTAGTTTCAGGAGTCGTAACAAATACCAGAGGACTTGTGACTTATTTTCACTTACTTGTTTATTGGGTCATATGGTTTCATGTATCCATAGGCAACCTGAGGATGTGTCTTTGCATCCCTTATTATCCTTTGGGTGTCATACATAAGGAATCCGGAGAAGAGTAGAAGGCCTCCATACAGAGCCATAGAGTGTAATCCTGCACCAAGAGCAGTGGTAGGCGGTAAGAAAAGGGTTCCCATGGAGCTTGCAAATACTACGCCAAGTCCAATGGCCAGGGGGCCACCCATATAAAGGAATTTATCGTTGGGAGCGGAAAGAGCAATGGCAGACAGACCACCGACTACTCCAGCTGTATACCATGCTGCTTTTATAACTAGAGGACCTCCAAGGAGGCTTATGGGTGCCAATATGGCTCCCATGACACCCGTGTGTATCATCCATGCAATCTGCTTAGCACCAAATCCTTCCTTGTAAGGAATACTCTGGGCTACAACGCCTGATCCGATCATAGCAACCATACTAAGGCCTAGAGCAACCCATCCTTGACGCGAGACGATTTTCATAACAGTTGGCGAACGCAGGCATAGGGCTCCACTTGCAGCAGTCATTAAAACTGAGCCACCAAAGTACATATAAGTTGAGTGAATGCGATCTTTTACATATTGTGGCCACAATCTGAAATACACATATATGATTGAAAAGTTATCATAGCTTTGTGACGGTGGTTAGAGTATGACTTGATTATTTAGGAAGTTTTAAGATACATACCCCATTTCATCTATGGCACCAGTTTCGGAGGAAAGACCCAATCCATAGAAACACAGAGCTCCCAGTCCTAGCGCAGCACCTCCAGCAATGGCTCCTTTGCCAACATTAAATGCTGTAAGCATGGAATATACATTGTTTTAGTACTATTATATCTAATACAATCAAAAACATGATGCTGACATCAGATGAAATCTGAAATGTTTACCTGATTCTCCAGCGGGTGCCATGACCTGTTCCATAATAGTGCCTCTTTTGCGAGCAGTACGAGTAAACGTTGTACGGCCTTCATCGGCAAAGAGTCTAACACTTTGAATTTTGGTTTTAAATTGCTTAGGAGCCACTGGAGATTTTACCAGACTAGTCACTTGGGGCGTAAGACTAGCCCTGCAAACTCTGGCGAGCATCATCTTCGTTCTTTAATTTTCGTTTTCTGTCGAAAATAATACAAATTTAAAGGTTAATAGCCATGCAACGTTTATGCAGTGAAGTCTCTACTTATACGATTTGTCAGAATAAAATTTACAATTCTTTAAAATTTATGGAGATCCTGTAATTAGGGGTGAATAGAAGAAACTTGTGTTTTGATGGAAAATCGAGTGTTTTTGAAAAAATTTGGATTTACTCACATGATGCAATAACAGTGCAATTGTTTTCTCGAAGTCTCGTGAATTTCAAAGTTCACATGCGTTGCACCGGTCCAAGCATGAAGTGATTTTTAGGGACGTCACGCAATAGATGTCGACGTTTCAGGACGTCGAAATTTCTCGACATGGACTTTCATATTGCCATCTAGGGGATACAAATACAAAACTTGTCAACAGTTATGATTATCTAAGTCTAAAGAAATTGTAATCACTGTGAATATTAAAGGAAACATACGTAACGGTAGTCGGTAACTTATTGACTGTGATAATTTCTACCAGAAAGTTAACTAGTTCAGATAACTAGTCCTTTTCTTGCCTTCTCCTAACTTCTATAATCAATAACTTCAGAAGGCCTACAAAGTACAGTTTCATCTCGCTGACACTGTCTGGCGCTTGTTTGCACAGAATACTGATGTCAATTGACTTCTATGCCAATACGAACGAATGTATTCGTGACGCGCGCATCTCGAACGCCTTGGTCCAATTCGTGAGGCTGCACTTATTTATAAAAACACAGGAAACGTGGGTTGCACGAGGTGCATTGATACTGTAGCATTGAGAAAACGAGGCTTTGTGTTGTGTCGTGATATCAATGCTAATCGATGCAGCGACATCGAGATCGCGAACTGACACTATGTGACAGCAGCTGACATCGGGACAGGAACACGTTGGGATAATCGCAAGCTTATTGTTAGATGGCGTCAACCTGCCGTGGCGTGACCCGGAAACGAATCGCAAGCGGTCTCGGTAGGGACACCGCTCTCCGACTCCGATTGCGATAGATCGAAGAAACGATCTACATCGATCACGATCACGATCACGTCACCCTCACCCCGACCCTCAACCTAGCTGGTTGCCCGCGGCCTGCCGACGGCCAACGGTACTGGTCGCTGCTATTTATATTGACAAACCCACTTATTTGTTGGATGGCAGCCGTTTTATTGCTTCGCCGTTAAATCAAGGCTTTCTGCTTATCACGAGTTTCGCTGATAATTGGTCAGCGAATTTTGTTTGCCTGATCAAAATTTCTTTAATTTCTTAAAGAACCTTTTCGATTCTGTTTATCATCTTTTGGAGGCTAACGGGTTCCGAATATCAGCGTGTCGGGAACGTGTCCTGACTACCGCAGACATTGTAGCTACACAAGGAGACGGTTCTCGTTCTCCAGCGACAACTTGTCCTGCGGTGTTCACGATTTGACCCAGCTGACCTCGCCGCCATAAATTCCACGCCGCCGCTTGTCACTGACTGCTTTTTCCATACGGAATCTATTCCTGGCTTTTGGAACTCGGATGATCCGCCCTCGCACAATTCGAGCGAGAGTGCACCACGTTACTTCCCGTACATTTATCCTGGCAGTGCAATTAACTGAGCATTAAAATGTCGTAAAAAGCTTGCCGGTTCTCCATAAAGCACTAAAGCCCAGAACGGTAGAAGAAAAAGGACACAATGAAAGGAGCATAACGTTCACGCCAGAGAATGTTGCCGCGATAAGAAATCGCTCTCTCGGATTTCAAGCAGCGACGCTTCTACGACAGCGACATCTTTCACAGCCAATCAGTCCGACGCAACAGTCCAGTAGAATTTAGCGAAAGGATCGAAAATATGTAAAACATCAATATAAATCTCAAGGCAATTCCTCCAGTAAAACTGGCACCGCGCGTTGCAGGTGGTCCCGGAAAGTGCAATTCCAATTCGCACAGTTCTCGCATTTCCATAAAGAGCAGAGGAAAGTGGCGTGCATTCCTGTTGGACTGCTCGGGCACAAAGGAGCTTGGAAAAGACAGAGCGAGCCACCTGCACACTCTTCGACCGGCGTAGGTGGTCCGCTGGAGCAAATGTCACAACTGCAACACCGCGCCGGGATATCCTCCGCCGTTATCCTTTCGCGGACGATTCTGGCTTAACGAGGATCGTGACGACGCTCGGATTACGTCTTTGTGGACTTTGCAACTGAGAGTTTACTTCTTCCAGAGATCCCTGGACTCGCTCGTCCCTCCGCCCCCTCCGCCGATTCATCTTCTCCTCTACTTCTATTCTACTTCCACTGCTCGTCTCCTGGTACGTCGCTGCGGTTACATACCTTAAATAAAGATGGCCGATTGATCAGCTGATCAGCGACAGGAGACATTCATACGGTAGACATGGAAAAGGGATTCAGGTCCGAATATCTCAGTACTGCGTGAGTAATATCCTGGTGGAGGCCCAAGCGGACAGGCTCTCCAGGTAACAAGAGCGCGCACAGCTATAATCGTGGATCAACTTCTGACTACAAGCCTATCGACCGCGCTACGAGGCTCCGCTCTACCTCGATTACCTACCTACCTACCCACCTACTTACCTATCCAGTTCCCTCGGTCCGACTAGGAGCAGTCGGACCCATCAAGGATGCTGGACACACGCACACTGCTACCAATCGAAGGAGTAGCACATTTTTATGTTTTCCCTCGGCGCTATAACTATACATTAGTTGCAAAGGGTCCGCGGACCGTGTCGTCGTTCCGCTATCTAAACTATCTCAAATAATTAGAAGTACCAGCACTCTCCGGATATCTCGACTATCTAACGTACGAGTAATCGTCTGTTTGAATTTGTTGATCGGCCCGTTATCGCTTAATTAGCTTGGGCGTTATCTCCTTTATGAAATCGTCACGCGCGATCCAGGATCGGCTTTTCGATTATTTTGCCGTTTGTTCCGCGGAATCGTTCCCGGCGCTATCTGAGTCTCCTTCGGAGCTGCCTCGTTAGGCCGCGTGGCGTCTCCTTTGGCTTCTCGGCTCCGGTCCCGTGGATCCGCCGAACGCTGAAGAGTTCGGCAAAAATGATTGAGAAAAATTGCATAACCGAATCGAAAGGCGAAACGAATCCCGTTACCTGCACGCTCTGCACTCCCACACACGATTGGCCTTGATATTTCTCCGAGCAACATTCTAGGATGACTGCTTGTTTTCGTGTCATTTGGTATCACCTTACGATGTAACCAGCTGCCAATGGATGCATGTATTGGCAGGCAAGCCGTGACGAATTCGACTCGTGCGAGTTCATCGGCATCGTCGGCGTCCTCGCCATCGTCGAGACGCCTTTGTTGCGTCATTCGCTGTGACTCTGTAAATCGACGAAACCCGCAGGAGAATCAGAACGAAATGGTAGAGAGACTAGAGGCTAAGAGGAAACAATGGACGATTGAGAGCGGCGACGGCTCGTTTCTCCTCCAGGGACATAACATCCATCATTGCAGGTTGCTGACGATGACGGAAAAGCTGCCACATCAGTCAATAATGGGCTCTCAGTCAACAACACGTCCCTGGCTCGACTGTTAGCGTCTTATGGTTTCCCATGGTTTCTCCCGGCACGGAATACGAGGAGCTTCGATGGCTGCGTCCTTTAATGATTATAATACACCGACTAATAAACCCGTAAACAACTCGTTCACAAGACTGATTAACACATTGTTCTTAGGCAGCAAGCCGCTGCTAGCTGCTAGCTGCTGCTCACGTAATGTATGATTGATTAATTCGGCTGCCGTCGACAGGTCGATCGGTCCCCGTCTCGACTACTCCTTTCGGAGAAATCGGGTCCCGAAATTACATTCCGGCCATCCCGTATAAGATACGACACGCGATCCTCCTCCAAGCGTGCGTGCGTGCCCTCGCGTCGTCTTTCTCCGATCGCGCTACCGATCGCTCTCAAATTAACTAGAACTCCTGCTCCCTATAGATCCTTTCAAAGATCTCCTATTCGATCCCGTAATATACCGTAATGCAATCAAGGATCGAGTCAATGGAATCGTGCGTGGTGATTCGTGCTCCCTATGGCGGATCAAATGATCGCGAATTCCCGGCTGAGGCTCGGAGCACGAGGCAAGGTGATCGCCGGGAATCGTTCGGTGCGACCGGCCGAGCGTAGAGAACGCGATTGACGCCAATAAATAAAGGGGAATCGGCAATTAAGAAAGACATCAGCCAGCTAATGAGGTTGCGCCGCCTTGCGACGAGAGCGAAGAGCGAAGAGAGCTGCTCGAGAGTTGTGGAGGCGTTGACGACGCCGCTCGCAGTTTCGCCAGAGTCTGAGGCTAACGTGAGGATAGATGAAGGCGGAGGGGTCGGAGGGGTCGGAGGGGACCGACGAGCGTCGGTGTTGCGGCTCAATGGAAAACGTAACCCGTAGAAGCCCATCACGGATCGACCTACGATCCACGATCCACGATCCACGAGCTGACAATCTATGGAGAAAACGGCGATGCCTCGGAGATTCTCCATCTTTCTCTATGGGACGGCCCCAGGGTAGACAATGCCACATAAATCATGGACACAGGATGCACTGGCCTTCCGATCGCTCGATACACTTCGATACACTTATAAACTAATTGCCCTGTCTCGATAGCGTAGCGCTCCGATTGGCACGAGAATCGCTCCGGAAGGGAATCACATGATGACCCCGTGTGACTTTGGCTCCTATCGAATCGATGAGATACCGAACCCGGGTCACTCTTTCCTGCTCCTGTTCTTCCTCTGTGCTTGGGTTCACCCTTGACCCAGGAAACACCCTGATGCCATTCCTGATTACGAGGACCACGTGGTTATCGCGCTCTGAATATAGGGCTGAGAGGAGCTTTATGTATAGCGCAGCAAGAGTGCATTGCAGAAAATAAACTTGAGCCCAGCCGCGCATCACCGCAAGATTAGCTACGACTTTATAACCGTTTCCGGGTAGAAGAATCCCCGGTGCAGTTTGCACGATGCACGATGCCCCAAAGCGAATTGACCTTACTCCAGTCCGAGACCGAGAGATCACCATCTAATCTGGTTGTGTGCGCTTTGAGATCCTACGAGGGAGAGATGCGGCTAGAGGGACGGAGAACGGGAGAGAGCGAGAGGGAGGAAGTTCATCTATCCCGATATGCGACTGCATAGTCGCTCCTTGTCAGTTAAGCTTAAGCTCGGCCACTGCTTTCGTCGCTTCCAATTGGATTCGCATCTTGGATTCTTTCACCGATCAATAATCTATGCGATATCGAATGATCTCACGAGATGCCGCTTGTACCGGACCATCGCTCGGGCATCTTGAGGCATCGGAGTTTTGGCCTCGACCCAGAGGAGTCGGGCAGCG